ACGGACGTCCTTGAGGACAGGCAGGAGGAGTTACAGTATCTAGCGGGTGCTTCACCTCATCTCGCGTCTGTACTGCTTGCCCCTGAGGGAGACCCGGATGCACTAGACATCCCGACTCCGCGTTCTTACGCGGAGGCCGTAGAGGGTCCCTACTCCTCTCAGTGGCAGGCAGCTATGGATGCAGAGATGGCTTCTTGGAAGTCCACAGGCACCTACGTTGACGCGGTTCCCCCTCCCGGGGCGAACATCGTCAGTGGCATGTGGATCTTCAGGGTGAAGCGGCCGCCGGGCTCTCCACCTGTCTTCAAGGCACGGTACGTCGCTCGTGGCTTCAGTCAGCGGCAGGGATGTTGACTACTTTCAGACCTTCTCTCCACCCCGAAGATGACTACTCTTCGGGTGCTGCTGCACATAGCCGCTCAGCGCGACTACGAGCTTCACTCTCTCGACTTCAGCACTGCGTTCTTGCAGGGTAGCCTGCACGAGGAGATCTGGCTTCGCCGTCCACCTGGCTTCACTGGGACTTTCCCTCCTGGCACCCAGTGGAGCCTCCGACGGCCAGTCTACGGTCTCCGCCAGGCACCGCGTGAGTGGCACGACACACTGAGGACTACGCTTGCGGCTCTTGGGTTTGCTCCTTCTACTGCTGACCCGTCGCTGTTTCTTCGCACCGACACTTCCCTGCCGCCGTTCTACATCCTCGTGTACGTCGACGACTTGGTCTTTGCCCACAGCGGACACTGCTGGACTCGCCTACGTGAAGTCCGAGCTGCTGAAGAGACACACGTGCACAGACCTGGGTGAACTGCGCAGCTACCTTGGCTTGCAGATCACTCGGGACAGAGCACGCCACACCATTACCTTGACTCAGTCACACATGGTGCAGCAGGTCCTTCAGCGCTTCGGCTTCACGTACTCCTCGCCTCAGGCCACTCCTCTGCCTACTCGCCACTCACTCTCAGCTCTGCCTTCGGATGAGTCCGTAGAGTCGAGTGGTCCGTATGCAGAGCTTGTTGGCTGCCTCATGTACCTGATGACCTGCACACGACCTGACCTTGCATACCCTCTGAGCATTCTTGCACGCTATGTTGCTCCTGGGAGACACAGACCAGAGCACATGGCTGCAGCGAAGAGGGTATTGCGCTACCTGTGCAGTACGTCAGGCATGGGGCTAGTGCTTGGAGGGCGGAGTCCAGTGGTCCTTACCGGCCACGCGGACGCTTCTTGGGCTGACGACCAGGCTACGCAGCGGTCGTCACAGGGTTACACCTTCAGCCTTGGTTCCGGCTCTGTCTCGTGGCGGTCTACTCGCTCGTCTTCGGTTCTCGGCTCCAGTTGTGAGGCTGAGATCTACGCCGGGGCCATGGCTGCACAGGAGCTTCGCTGGCTCACCTACCTGCTGACTGACCTTGGAGAGCCGCCTCGTTCTCCTCCAGTGCTGTACGTAGACAACAAGGCCATGCTGGCCTTGTGTCGAGAGCAGCGCTTGGAGCACAGAACGAACACATTGCTCTCCGCTACTTCCTTGCTCGTGAGCTGCAGCAGCGTGGTCAGTTGCGACTTGCGTACGTGGCCTCTGAGGCCAACACTGCTGATGTGTTCACCAAGGCACTCGCGCCTTGTGACCATCAGCGCTTTTGCACCCAGCTGGGTCTTGTGTCTGTCTTGCCTCACTTGCTCTCCTCTTGACTTCACTTGTACTGTGACATATATATATACCTGCTCTTGCTTGTCTAGTTTTATATATATGTCTGTACTCCTGCATGTGAACTGGCCTCTGGCCCTGCTCTTGTTCTCGGAATGTGTGGTGACTTTGTGATCCACCCTGAGCTTGCTTTGCTTTGCTTTGCTTGACTGGTCTTGTGACCCCTTGTTCTCCCCCACTTTGCCTATGGGGGTGTGTCAGATTATTATAACTGATGCATGTTTGTAGGCTATAGTGGGGTAGCACATATGGGGTACAGCTTTCTAGGGTTGTATTTGTACCCAACTCTGACTTAGTCATTTTCATTCCTGTTCATTCTTTTCACAATCGAGAAAGGAAGGCTCGAGCTGTCATACTGCCCCACGTCCGAGATGGCAGGTGACTACCTGACCAAGAAGCTCGGAAAGCAGAAGTTCGAATACGGCATGCTGCTGACTGGACAGGGCCACGTCAGCGACACTCCAGAAGCAAAGGGGAGTGTTGGAAACAATCGGTCCTAAGCGCCTCTGTCGTGTCGAAACACTAAGGCACAAGCGAAGCAAAGCATATCGAGGAACCAGTGAGTCAACCCTCGGAGGTTGAAGTAACCGCTGGAGGTTACGCGAAAGTCAAAGGTCAGTGATGTTTGACCTGACAAGTACAGCGCGACAGCAAGGACACACAACTAACTCGTTACAGAGCAGTTGCCCGAGTCGTCACTGTATCGAACCGCAACAGCAACAGTAAAGTAGTTATAACTGTGTCTTTTTCATATTCCCTGTATTCATATATAATCTTGTATCTCCTTGTTTTAATCAACTTACTTTGCTCTCACATACTAGCGCAAGGTGGTTCACAACACTTTATTAACGCTTCCGCTATTACACCAACTCTACCCAGAGTTCACCCCTGCAAAGATCCTAAGGGCCTTTTTCAGCCCTACACCCCTTTCCCCGGCTACACCTACGAAACCGCTGGCACTTGGCTAAGCGCCAGTACTTTGAAGGCAGATAATGGGCAGACGTACAAGGACCTGGTGAATGCCATGCTGGCTGCTCCTGGTGCTTACTCTGCTCTTGTCTTTGCCATTGTTGAGGCTGGAGCGGCGAGTGGGGCTTTCGCCAATAGCACTCTGACAGCTGGCAATGGGACCGTGGCAGGTGGCCAGGCTGCCAAGTTGAGCATCAAGTTGTTTGGCTGGAGAACTTATCCAGGGTATGGTTCACGTTACCCCTAAGGGTCGGGTTGCGTTCCAATGCTTGAATCCTGCAGGGTCTTACTGCTGGGGTAGTGAATACGTGGTGGAGTGGAAGTTTTGTGCTTGTATAGTGTTGCCTTGTGTTTGTCTTTCCATCTGTGTCTGTATAATGTTGCATAATGAGTGTTCGTTTGTATTCTGGAAATAATGTCAGTGTTATTCACACCTGCATGGGTTGACCGGGTCCCTTAGTGCTTGGCGTGACTAAAACGAGTGCTAGGTAGGAAGGTCAGCTCCGTCACCATCCATACTGGTGTTGCTGACACTACAGGGCATTCTTGGTGGTTACCACTGGTATACGTGGTCTGACTGCTCGTGGCTCACATTAGGCCTCCTCAGCCCCCCCACCCCATAGCCTCCTCTGGTGTGTTCAGCAGAGTTTTTGTAGAATTCACCAAGGTTTGTGAAGAGTTCGTCAAGCTGGCCATCAAGGCCTTGTGGTTCGGTTCAGATGACGATGGGAAGTATATACAGCAAAAAAGACGAGTCATAACACCTGGAATTGGTGGCAATATCAATTGCTCAGTGGCATGGAATATAGTTAGCTGTCATTGGACATTGAATATGCACAATTGCGCGTGATATTGAGTCTAACAAGGCGAGTTCGACTCTTGTACTTGTGTGTGGAGTATTTTATAACGCAGTAACATCAAAAGTTCCTTTGTTCTGATTTGGCGAGTGAAATGCGTTCAGCACGTCATTCACAGCACTAACCACGCTGGATGGATCGCAGCACGCATGCGTTGCGTCATCGATATGAATATGTGCGCCAGCACGGGTGGGGATGACACGATGCTCGTGAGATCTCAAACCACGTGGTTGTTTTCCAGCACTTCTTCGCTGGATTTCACCGAACAAAACCTACAGGCAAGTCTAAGATATTTGTTTTACCGAGAGTAACCGTTTTGTATGACCTTAGTAATTCTAACTCTTCCAGTTTTTCTTCCCCTGGGACAGCACACGAATGTGTTTGGAATTGGAACGTTTGAGGATCTCGAATAAACATGAACCGTACGATTGCCAATCAACGTCAGAGGGCTGATGAAGCCCCGCACATGCCATGCGCACACACCGCATGGCGTGGCGCAGGAAATGCGACTGACTACCCGTCGCTTGTCTCGACGATTCAGTCAGTCTCATTTCCTGCGCTGGCTGGGGATTTTGGCGGGATGGTGGGAGTCGTCGTGACTCGTGACGAGATGACGACGGGCACCATTGCCTGGTGTAGCGCGTTTTGCTCACATATATTTCCGGCCTTTCCCTCGCATCCACTCTCTTCTCCCACATACTATCGCGACGCTCCAGCGTTTTTCCTCTCGTCTCTCGTGCTTGCACTTCTCGCGCTCACAAGGGGCGAGAGGAATCGCCTAACTTTACAATAAGGGGCGAGAGGAATCGACTAACTTTACAATAAGGGGCGAGAGGGATTGGATAGCTTTTCAATAAAGGCCGATAGAAGTCGCCTAGTATCAACAAGGGGCGGGAGTAACCGCGTGTAGCTCCTCACAGGGAGTTAAGCACCGTTGCAAGCGGGGCATTCGCTAACATCTCTATTTGGCGCCTCCAGCTCCCGCAAAAAAAGCAAGAGTTGTCTTGAGGGGTTCGTGTGAGAGGCTCTCGTTGAATCTAAACGCGGCGTTGTGCCCTCGGGGGTGCCTCTGGGTTATCTTTTCCCATTGGTAACTTCCCGCGTTAACTTCCCGCGTAAGATCTAGACGCGTTATCTTCCCGTGGGAATTGTCCCAAAATAGTAGTTCCCAGCTCTCCAATTGTTGGTTTCACACGCCATGGCGGCCCGCTACTGCGCCTTAGCGCACCGAGCATCACGGAAGGTTTCGCGACTCCATCTTAAGGCACGCCACCGTCGTTTCGCCTTGTACATATATTATTTTTATATATGCCCCTTATCCTTTGTGCAAGCGCATGATCGTTTTTTTATGAACGTTGTTTTCTTGACAATCGCAGGTCGTGGAATTAACGGTCCCTTCTGCTGACCGCCGTACCACAGCTTACAGCTTTCCGCGAAACCCGCGGGAGTCTCCGCAGCAGTTTCCGCCCATGCGCCATGCACTTCCGTTTCGCTTCCGCCAATTCTCAATTTCCGCCGTCAGCAGCGCCCCCGGAACCCTTCCGTCCCCCGCTTCCCCCGCTGCGTCCTCGTCCTCGTCCCTCTCCCCCCCCTCCTCGCCGTTGCCCACTCACGGGGAAGGGATGGTTCTTGAGAGGGCGGCGGTTTCCACGGCTGAATTCACGGCGCATGATTACATGATGGACGGGGGAGTGGAGGAGGTGTTGGATTCGCGTTTCTTCCACGTGGCAGCGACTGCCACGTCAGCTGCAGCCGCGTCGTTCCCGCCGGGAACGGGCCAGCAAATCAGCACGCGCCACGTTACAGGGCGCCGCGACGGACAGCCCTCTGCTTCGTTTAATTCTGGCGGGCGCAGCGAGTTAAGGGACACAGATGTGAAAGACGACGGGAGCACAGGTGGAGGGGAGGGGCGCGCGGAGGTTCTTGAAGGTGGAGGGGGAAGCTGGCAGGCGCAAGGGCGGACTGGGGAGTCGGGGGAAGCGGGGGAAGCGGGGGAATCGGGGGAAGCGTTGGGCGGGAAAAGCCGTGCACCAGAGGTGGAAACCGCGCCCAGCCTTCAATCAGAGCGCAGCATGGCCGAACATATCGGGGCAGTGCGCGGAGACATGCAGGGAGGAGGCGCGGGGGGGGGGGAAGGGGGAGCGGGAAGGGGCGGGGAGGAATGGGAACGGGGGAGAACCAGGGGAAAATGGGGGGCGAGGGGAAGGGGCGGTGTGGGTAGATGATTTGGATGGGAAGGGTTATGTGAGTCTGGGTCGACCTACTAATGTACAGATTGGAAGCACGGAAGGATTGCTTGGGGAGCTTGCAAACGTGGCACCTATGGATAGGCTGGACTCTGCCAGGCTGGCAGAACTTGAACCTGAACCTGCCACGGGCACGGGCGGCGAAACTGCCACCACCATGGCTCCAGACACGGACAAAACCGCCAGCTGTCCTCACGCTGCGACAGGACTGGTTGACGCGGGCGGCGGGAAGGTGGTGAATGCGATGGGGATGAGAGTGAGAATTAAAGCCGAGGCGGAGCAGACGGGGGGGTCGTATAGTGTGATTGAGTACGAGGTTCCGGCAGGGGAGGGGACAGAGGAGCACATTCACACGCGGGAGCACGAGGCATGGTTTCTGCTGGACGGGCAGATGACGTGGACCATCGAGAAAGAGTGAGTTCTACGAGCATGTGACATGGGGTCTAGGCCAGGTATAAGTATTGGAAGAACTACATTTGGATAGACTTGGATAACCGAGTGAGCAAAGCGGCATGGAGCAAGGGGGGGAGGGGGTGAGGGGGGGAAGAGAGGTGGAGATTGAGAGGGGGGGAGAATATAGGTTTGATGGTTTTGTACACGTGTGATTCTGTGAGTTGCTCTGATACACTGTGGTGGAATCTGAGATGGTGGCGTGGCAGGTGAGTTGAGGGGTTGCTTGGTCTCATTTTATCAAGTCTCAATATTCCAATCTTTACCAGTCGTTACCATGCCCCCTTCAACACCATCCTTACAGTGTGTTCCCATCCTCTCCATTCTCACCTATCTCGTTTGTATACCTTAAACCCGCAGAACCTATCAAGCCAGTCAGGGCAGTTTCATGCACATGCCTCTTGGCCGGGCACATTCTTTCCACAACAATTCCGACCGACCTGCCCGGATGCTGGTGGTCTGTATGCCGGGCGGGCTGGAAAAATATTTCTTGGAGATTGGAGATCCTGAGGAAGCAGCTGGAAAGGCACCTGAGCAGTCACCTGGTGGTGCTGTGCATAAGCCTGTGGTGGAGCAGGCAAAGCTTCAGAATGCAATAAAGAAAGCGATGCTCTACGGTCTAGTGTACCCTAAAGGCGCAGCGGCTTAGAGATTAGTGGACAGGGTTGTGGGGAGTCACCTTTGGGTGCACCAAAGCCTTGCGCCATTGCAACTGAGTGGTCACCTGGTGGTGTAGTGGGGCGTAAACCTGCGGTGAAGCTTGCAAAGCTGCAGAATGACATTAAGATGGCCATGTGCTATGGTCTTAGGGTGCATTCCGCTCAGGACATATACCCTTAGAAAGTGTCCGAATCACTTTTTGCCCGAGTCGCCCTCAAATGTCTTGGAACCTCATGTCCCAATGGATAAATGTACTGCGACCCTGCACGACTGCGAAACAATTATATGTGAACGATTTTGATTGGCTATCTCTGTGACTGGCCCACTCAATAATTCCGAAGGAGTTCGGTTTGACCAATCACGCTGCAATGTACGCGTTGCTACTGATAGCCGTGACTGCTGAATGATGACCAGGTACATGCAGCCTGGATTGACATTTGGCACCGCGTGCGATGGCTAATGTGTGTTGCGCTGGCGTGCAATTAGTCAGCGACTGTTCCGTCTCTCACGTCACCCAATGATAAATGCGGTTTGCGACATTCACGTGCAGTTCGGCATTCGGACACCTATGATGTAAGTAAGGGCGGGTCCAGCGCGTACGTTTACAGGTACTATACAGTTCATCTGTCGTGGTTTGATAAGTTATTACACGGTGCACAGCGGTTTTGAAACTTTACCGTTCTAAATCGTGACGAAATACAGATTACCACACTGGATGAACTGTAATGTACGGAAAACGTACTCGCTGGACCCGCCCTTAGTGTTACAATTGATTCGGACACTGGTACATGTCCTGAGCGGAATGTTTGACCACCAGTGCACCTGCTGAGGGTAGTTTGTTTAGACTAATGTTGCTAGTACGGAACTGGGTCGGGTGTTGATATCTCCTGTACAAGGGTTGTGAATACCCTACAGAGAGGTCAGTGGCAGTTTTGCATGTGTGCTTACAATGTGAAGCAGTAGATGGTACCAACATGTACAGGACAGGTAGCCTACATTTATAGAAGCACCAACACGACCACAAGCCATGAGAGTATAACATACAGCATGCCTAAGACCCAACAGAAAGCATGCACATGTCCAGTTGCAATGTGCACTGCACATGAACAGGATCCAATCCAGCAGCTATAAGTATCATCAACCAGTGCGGGACAGCTGCAGCAGACCAACATTCACCATGCACCAGTCTTTCCTCATAGCATACAGACAGCACAAGCACATAAAAACATCCCCCTGATCCAATTCCCCACGAAAGCCCCATGCTTTATCTCCTGCCTGAGCCCTGCCTTACTCAGCATCAGCTATCAGCTTGCAAGAGAGGAACATAAGATCACGAGGGGTTGTGCCATTCACCCAGCAGCACAGCCACCCGAACTATGGATCTACATTTGCAGCACCAGCTCGTTGCCCGAGAGCTCTGCCTGAGCGTCAGCTGCAAGCTTCTGTGTGACGCATGTGAGGTTGGACATGACTCGCACAGTTGCAGCACAGCCACCAGCACAGCTGCACCAGCTGGTGCCTACATCTGCAGCACGGGCTCTTCACCTGAGAGCTCTGCCTGGGCGTCAGCTGCAAGCTTCTGAGTGAGGCGGGTGAGGTTGGACATGGCTCGCACCGCCATGCGCAGCGCATTGTCCCGCTCCTGCAGTTGCTGCTGCATCCTCGCCTCCTCCTGCTCCTCCTCCCTCTGCCTCCGCTCCTCCCGCTCCTGCTGCCGTTGCAACCTCTGCTGCTGCTCCTGCTCCTCTCCCTGTTGGGCGGCACTCCCTGATACGCCGACAGCAGCAGAGGCAGAGGCCAGAGCAGGGCGAGAGCCGTGTAGTTGACTGGCGGAAGCAGTAGAGGAACCGAGCGAGGATGCGGGAAGCAGCAGCGGGCGGTCGTTTGTATCTGCCTTGAGCTGGGCACTGAGATCAGCCAAGCCTTGCAGAGCTGACATGGCGGTCTCTACCTCAACTTTCGCCACCTGGACACACCAAGGTGGGAGGGAAAGGCGCAAGGGGAGGAACGGGAAGGGGGCAAATGGGAAATGGTTTGAGTACAAGGGCAGTGGGTGGGCAGCCTCGACAAGGTGCAAGGCCAGCACTAGACAAAGGCCGTGGGAGGTTCCAGGAGGGGACTGAGGGCGCTCATGCAGGCAGGCTGTGGGATGGATTCAGTAGTATGGCTGTGGCATGGATTCAGTGAGCTCACCTCGAGTTCCAGCTTCACCACTTCATGCGCCACCAAATCCGCCTGCGACACCTTCTCCACCCCCTCGCCCTGCTGCCCTGCTTGGCGTGAGGAGGCGGATTTGATAACGTCCCGCAGCTGCGCGATCTCCCTGGCTCCGCTGATCACCTCCGCGCGCATGGCCGTCAGCGCAGCTTCCCGCTCCTCCCACCGCGCCGTCAGTTGCCGGATCTCCTCCTCCCGCTCGGCTAGGAGGGATTTCACGGAGTCCAGCTCGATCTGTTTCTCTCCCAGCGCTGCCCTTGCTGCCCGGAGCTGCTCCAATAGACGTTCGTTCTGCTCCCTCTGTTCTTGCTCCTGCTCCTGCTTGGGATGAGGGGTCGGCCAAGGGATGGATAAGAATGAAACAAAATGAGGCAAAGGGAGACGAAAAGGCCAAGGAGGCCGGGCAGAGGGGGCTGCACGAGAGAGAGACGTAGAAAGAAGTAGAGATGGAAAGCAAGTGCGAGGAAGGGAACGGGGTGGGGAGAGTTGGGGAGGGAAAATTAGGTGTATATGAAGCAGCAGGTCGGGGAGGTCAGTAGGGCCTACCTGCAGCAGCTGCATCCCATGCTCCTTCTCCAGCAGCGCTCGGCTCGCCGCGAACAGCTCTCGGTTCGTCTCCGCCAGCAGCACGCTCTCCCCCACCAGCATCTTCCCGCCTCTCAACCCCACCGACCCCACCCCACCGCTCTGCACCGCTCTCCCGGACGTCAGCACCCCCATGTCGAAACCCCCGGCGGCGAGCGCGGAATCCGCGAGCTTGCGCGAGAGCTCCGCAATCTGCTCCACGACGGTTTCCGCCGCCGCCAGGCGCGCGTTGCTGCCCTCCAGCTTCACCTCCATCGCCCCAATCGTCTCCTCCCGCATCTCTAGAGCCTTATCCGACGCCGCGACTCTCTCATCTTTAACTTGAAGCTCCAGCTTCACTGCTGCCAGCTCCCGGCGAAGTCCCTCCAGCGCGCTTGCCGCGGCGTCGAGCTCCTCTGACCGGGATTTGAGGTCCTGCTTCGCTATAGACAGATCCGATGCACTTTCTTGTAGCTCCAGGCGGAGACCCACGAGTTCTGCTTCTTTAAGCTGGAGGGTGATTTTGGCGTCTGAGAGTTCTGACTCCGCCTGTCGGACGGATTTACGGAGCTCGGAAGCTTCAGACATGGCTGTGCGAAGCCTCGACCGCGCGTCCCGGACCTCCATTGCGAGCGTCTCGCAGGCGTCCATCTCGTGCTTTAACTTAGTCTCGAGATCCAGAACCGCGGCGCGGACTGCTTGCAACGTCGCCCTCTCCTTTGCGAGTTCCGCGTTTGCTCGTTCGAGCTCCCGTTCCCGCTTTTTCAAAAGCATCGACGCGTTGGTCGCCTCGCGTTCCTGTCTCGAGACGGCGGATTTCAACTCATGGACCTCGGAACGGAATTTGCTCAGAGCTTCGTTAGACACCTTCAACTCGGCCTTCACCGCACCAATCATTGACTTCGCTTGAGCGAGCTCCCGAGACGCAGCCTCTCCTTTTACTCCGGAGTTCTTCAGATGCTTCTGAAGAATCTTTATCTCCTTCTGCGCAGCTGTCACAATGCCGCCTCTTTTCTCCAAATCTGATTCCATGGCCGTCAGTTTACCCTCCTGCCGACGCAGCTCCTTCTGCGAATCCTCCAGCTCCTCCTGCAACCGTTTCTTTTCGGCAACCGCAGATCTGAGATCCAACCGCAATTGCCGTACCTCCGCTGTCGAAGCTACAAGCTGGCTCTCCTGAGCCTGCAGCTGAGCTTCGGCAAGCCTCAACTTCTCATTCCTTGCTCGGATCGCCGCATGGGCTCGAGAGATCTCCTCCTCCTTCTTACCCAACCCCTCCTTGGCCTCGCGAATCTCCTTATTCCTCAAGTCGACTTCCTTGCGAGCCGCTACCAGCTCCTCCGTCTGCTCCGCCAGCTTCGAACGGATCTTCTCCGCGTCTTCCCGCAAAGACAACTGAGACGTCTGGTTTTCGGCAAGACGAGCCTCACGTTCCTGGATGAGTTCGCGCGCCGTCTCGAGGTTATCCCGGTCGAACAGCAGCCGTTGCTCAGCCTCGGCTAGCTCCTCTTCTTTCTCCCGCATGGCTTCGAAGACCGTAGACAGGTCCATTTCGAGCTGCGCGATCGCATCTTCAAGAAACCTCGTGGAATCCACCTCGGTCTTGTGATCTTGGCGGTAGTTCTGCGAGAATAGACGTTCCAATGCGGCGCGAGCGATGTCCAGTGAATCTTGGCCGGTACCTCTTCGGGTGAAGCGGCTCCCGCTGCCACTGTCGCTGGTGCTGCCGCTGCTTCCACCACTGGTGTTGCTCGAAGGTTTGTCCAGAACCGCGCGGATTGGTGGACCAACGCGGAAAGATACGGAAGTCGAGCCGCGGTAAGTTGAAGGCCGGAGCTTTAGGTGAGATAAGAAGGACGTGGAAGACATGCTGTCGCGACTGGCAGCGCGAAGGCTGCCCATGGCGACAGGCTTAGACATGGTGTCGTGCGTCCAAACAGAAACTGTGGTGGAGACACGCGCTTATCAGGAAGAGCTCAGAGTGGTAGACTTGATTTCAATTGCTGAGAGTGATGCACCTGAGAGCCTTCGTCCTGCTCAAGGCGCTAGTAGAAAAAGCCTATGAAGCATTGAAGACCTTGAGGGCAATGACAACTGCTGAGATGTGGCGAGGTAATAAAAGTTGTGGAGCTTGATACAAAGAAATGCTCGGGGCATGGGGATTAGAACGCTTGCGTGGATCCTGATGGATGAGGATGAACGGCTCAGATGGGAACTGGCAAGACCATCAAACGCCAATGGGCTTGAAGGTGGAGGGCATGGGGAGGATGGAAGTACGGTGAGGCGGAGGGGGCGGTATGGGGGAAGTTCGAGGCGGAAACTGAAGGGGGGAGGAGGAGACATGCAATGCAACCAGCGGAAACGAAAGGGGTCCATGCGCGGGGAAAGAAATGACAGGGGGATCTTTGCGAAGTTATGAAGGGAAGGGGAAGGAAGCGAGGAGGGGCGAGGCCCCCTTGCGAAGCCTCAAGAAGATCTCATTGGACGGTGTTGGGTGCGTTGCAGGGACAAGGACCAACCCGGGGCAGAAGCAAATGTTTGAACACCAAAACCACCCAAACAGTCTGCCAAAATTTGCTGGCTGGCATGTGTGGCCACAGTTAACGCGTCTGCCCCTTGTTCCCTCGATATAATAACAAGTCCAGTGCCAGCGCATAGATTTTCCGCTCTATTGGTGCACTCGCAATTATGAGCTCATGCTACCAAGGATCTTCCGCCAAATCTGCATGAGCTGCCCATCTCCTGACCGTCCAAGATCGAAGCTTTGGAAACGGGCCGCGTGATACGAACTGGCGGTCTGCACAAGAGTGGTGGCGGAAAGCAAACCGCGACCAAGCGAACTAATCAGAGAGAACATATTCCAAAGAAGCTGGGACCAACGAAAAAGTTTCGGTATTTAGCAGACATCTGGGACGGTTGTGCTCACGTGTCCGAGGAGATCTCCACAGCGACTTCAAGTTCTGATATTTATTGGTCTTCTCACGAACCGAACGCCAAATTTGACGTATTAAACTGAATCGTACACGACGGGTTCAAAGATTTCCCGTATACTCTCCGGCGTATATGCAGGTTATACATCATTCCCATGTAAACCATATGAGCCAGGCATGACCTTTGAAAACAAAAAATCAAAGTATCCTAATTCCCTTACGTGTCTTCTTTAGTGGTGTGCATCTATGATCCAGATCATGTACACTTTCCTAAGGTACTTACACTAAACCAAGGATAAGAGTAATATAGCAGGCTTACCTTGCCACAAGGGAGGAGCCAAATGAGATTTCGGGCCTGTTGCTGATTAACAGGAGTTTTATATACGTTAGTAACATGTACACAGAACTAGTAAAACCATTGAACAATACATGTATATCATCAGGCAGAGGTTCTCACAAAATCCCCAGGCTGGACCATAGCTACAAGCGCATGAAGATGCCCCTGGCAAGCATCTTGGGTTGTGCGCTGCTGCTCTTGGTCAAGGCACAAGCTATCCCCAAGAACTGCCACTGCAGGCTGCTGCTGCAGTTGTGCTAAAGAAACACGTCCTTGCATTCCTCGTGGCAGGAAGTGTTGTTGTTGCAGGCCTCGTGCGTCTACATTGGGCTTGTTCTCCCGAGAATCGGCGGCATTTTCAAGGGGACGAGCAACGGTTCTCCGAACAATTCTCCCGCCAAAAACGTTCAGCAGCACCCACGGATGGGATAAGACTTTCGCAGCGGTCGGACGTCGCCGAGGATCTCGATGCAGCATGCAACGAATCAGCCCTTTCGCTTCGACTGAGATTGTCGCCCATTCCGGCGAGGAAAAATCCAGACGTCCATTCAAGACGGCCTCTGTGGAGTCACTATTGTCATCCCCGAGAAAAGGAACGGCACCACTTAGCATTGTGAAGAGGAGAACTCCAAGCGACCACACATCGGCAGAATGCCCGTACTCCCCGGAGAGCACCTCAGGCGCCATGTAAAACGTCGAACCCGAGATTCCTCGAGTAGTTTCGCCGGCTAAAAGCGGAATCGCGAGTCCAAAATCAGCAAGTTTCACGGTTAACCGGTTAGAAGCGTCTCCTTGCTTATGGAGCAGGATATTTTCTGGTTTCATGTCGCGATGCATCACACCCCTTGAGTGGCAAAACGCGAGAGCTGAGGCGATTTGTCGGAACAGAAGCGCCGATTCCTTTTCGGGTAGCCTTCCCCGTCGCACAACTTCGTCGTACAGGTCGCCAGAGTCGCACAAATCCATGACGAGATGAACTCCCACATCGTCCTCGAAGACCCAATGGAGCTGCACTATCGCCGGATGTGTCGCTGCTCTGGTTGCTGCAGCATTGGGCGACGAATGCACCACGCGCATCGGCGGGTCTTCAGTTGGTCGCGCGGCGCTCGCCAAGAATTTATCATCGCAAACAGTAGCGCTCGTGTTGCCCGCTGAGGGTGCGTTGGGGCCCAGCGAAGAAAGAAGCCGATTCAACCGATGTTGCATGAGCAGCACCTCCATCTTCACCTCATGTCTCACGAATTGGTCGAGAAGACGCGACTTGGGAATCGTCTTGCACGCGAAAGCTTGACCCGTCTCCCTGCAAACGCACCGTCGAACCGTGCCAAATTGACCGGCGCCTAGAATGTCGGAATCCAGATCGAATGATTCTTCGAGCCGTCGTTGAAGCTCCGGGAAGACTGGAGGCACATGAAGATTAGAGCTTATTAATGAAGGCGTTTCTGCCGTAACGGTGTTCGGACGAACTTGAGCCAATTCCGTAGATTCAGCAGGAAGAAGCTTTGGGGCTGGGTTTGCACTCTGCGTGTAAGAGTGTCGTAGCCGCTTGGACGCATTGCCGGAAGCCGACAAGGAAGGCTCTAGCACATCACAAGTGCGCCGAGTCCCGCCAGTAGCACCATTACTGTTTTTAGCTGATGCTTGGTTCTCCGCTGCGGCATCAGGAGTCTCCATTTTGATAGGAATTGAAAGGGAAGCATTCGGCATTAATATATATTTTGCAGTGTACGATGCCTCTTCAAAGTGTCTGGAAAAATAAGAGTTTACAACTGCAGCGCGGAGAAATGCCTCACGACAAAGAGCAGCAGAAAGCCCTGCTCGAAGATAAAATGCCTTTTCGGAATGAAGACTGGAGGAAAGAATGCTAGATGGCGCTAAACTTCCGTGGTGAAAGACTAACAACAAAGTGCCAATGCTTTTGATTCGGAGCCAGATTTAGACGAGAGCCAGTGGATGACGACAACTTTCACCTAACCGACCTCAAGACTAGGCCTTAACTACGGCAAGGAGCGATGGAATGTGACGTGACATCACAGCGAGTAGGGGCATTTTCGTGGTTGGAGCGAGGGCGTTTCGCTTGGAAGGGGAGGCTGGGGAGGAGGCTCGTTCATGCGATAAAAGCGAGGCATTTCGCGTCGCTGTCGTATGGCCGACCGCGTGGACCTATCACAGGGTACCACGGCACACGCAAAAGCGGTTCGTAAAAGCGTGTTGTGGACTCGGTCGGGTTTGCGAAGAATAGTCTTGCTGAGCAGTTTGGTTCCCCAAAACTCCTGAAGCCGGGCATTTTGAAATTCTGGAGTGAAAGTGTCACATTTGAAATTCTGGGAATTACAGTCAGAAAGTCGACGAGTTGATACAGTGTTGCACGACTGGGGCGTAAAAATAAGTACAGTACAAATGCTGTGCCAGGATTTCAGTGTCAAATTTGGCTTCACCTGCAGTCTGCACAAGCACTGCTGCCTAGCCCCTCTGCCCAACGCAGGAGATAGGAAATTCCAGCGTGTAACTGTAGAAGCCCTCCAGCAGTAGATGACAGGTCAGCGCACTCTCCCCCGCGTGAGAAATAGCAAATGAGAAAAGTCCACCTGTAATTTCGGCGCAAGCAGCGGGCTTTCACACCATGCGTCGAGGTATGAACAAGTCGCTTTCGCGCTCCACATACAGTAGGTCGCAGCAACATGGGGCTCCAAAAAGACCCAAACAATCGCAGCAGATTACACGACGACAAAGCAGGTCCTCATGCGAGGTGATGAGCTCTGAGCCACACAAGCAAAGCAGAGTTCTATCCTCTTTGACCCGGACTTAACGTTATCCTTGGACGGTCTGTCGAAATTTGTGGGCATTAGAAAGGACTCTGAAGCTTCGACGGGTGTCAAGCGAGTCCACGTAGGCGGGTTTCCCTAGAGGCTGGGACACTAGTGGTAATGCAAGTGAGAGGATCTTACGACAGCACGGCAGACATTACAGCAAATAACTGACGCTTTCCATCTGTTCACTGAAAAGATTTGCGAATTCCACGTGGTTGATGACAAAGTGCAAAGCGATATTGACGCTTTTTGGTCGGTGTGCTCACTCAGCAGAAGGATTAGCTGGCAGTTTCAAAAGCTGACCACAGCATTAGTTATCCACCCCTGACACTGAGTACCTAGGTCTAAAACTTTGACCGTAGGTACCACTAATGAAACTTGTTACAAAACTTAAGAATTACACCATGAACCTTACTGCTGAACTCTACCTAGTTCAGAATGGGAGCTGAAGGTGCTTTCGTCCAGAATTCAATACAGCATTTTCCAGCACTCAGTACATATTACAATGATCCAAATGCTACTCTAAGACGAAATAGCATCAATGGCAGCACCAAGTGGCCAAGCTGCCTCGACATCCTTGCCTTTGTACGTGACCTGCTTCACCAGCGTAAGTTCTGCTGCATCATCAATTCCTGAAAAAACAGTGGAGGACGAAGAGAGCCAATTTAGGATCACGTGTTTGTCACAGACACCACACGAGGAGCAAAAGCAGAAGAATAAAGCAGCAAATGACAAATGCAAAATAAAATGATTACAGGTTATAAGGAATGCTTACTGAAGCCATGGGTGAGCAGCTTGTGCTGGTACACCACGTCCAGGCACATGTATGGAGCGTCCTTGCCCTCCACCGCAGGAAACTTCTTTGTGACTTCCTCCAAGGGTGTAGCACAGGCAGCCTCAGCTACCGCTGCGAAGTCCTTTGCCTTGACAGGAGCTGATGACGCCTTGGGGTCGGGAATAACGCCAAGCTGCAGGGGGGAAGTGGGAGAGCGAAGGGGGAAAGTGGGAGAACACAGTAGGGTAATGGGAGAACGCAGGGGAGGAGTGGGAGAATGCAGGGGGGAGTAGGGAACCCAGAGAATCAGAGGTTGGGGAATCTTGGTGGGAAAGTCGGAGAACAGTGGATTGAGCCCACAACTGCTAATTGTGCGTCAGATCCGTTGTCGGAAAAATCCGGCCGGCCGGATCTAGCGAAGGTTACACATTCACGACATTCGCAGGGTATTTCGTTAACTTCGCACAATCCGGCCACCTGATAAAAATTTGATGGCCGATTTGATGGCCGGTTTAGCATTCGACAACTTTCCGACGTGCAAACGAATCGAGGGTCGACCACTTTGTCGACTCGTCAGCGCTACAGTACCTATGCGACTTGGCCAACATACCCAAGCGACTCAAGGTGTCACAAGGACGACGCGCGCGGCGCTTTCAGCGCCGTTGAACAAGACCACATTTCGGGGTTGTGTCACTTCAGTAACAATACATGCGACTCCGTCGCACAATCCGGCCAACTGTGCGACCTGCAAATCTGACACTTTTGCAAACCGGCCTGTAAATGAGCCACCAAATCTGTCAGATTGCAACACCTTGAAAATGTGGCTGGATGGTGGTCGGTTTACCATTCGACCATTCGGTCGACTTTGGCGAAAAATATAGTCGACCAAAAGGGCGACAAATTTGCAGCCAAATCACATTGTAGCGGATCTGACGCACCCTAAGTGCATCCCCTTTGCAGCAGCAGCGTCACCTGCAGCAGCTTACCTGACCCACCTGGTCAAAGAAGTATGAAGCAATGAAGAGCTTGGAAGCACCCTCGCCCCGACCCCCTCTCCCACACCCCTCCGAACGTGCACTCCTCAAAGGAGCACACAGGAGCATCATGGCCAGGAGTTGCTTACCTGGCCAGCCTGGTCAAAGAAGTACGAGGCAATGAAGAGCTTGGATGCACCCTGACCCCGACCACCACTCCACACCCCATTAATATGCACTATTCCAAGGAACACGACGGAGCAGCGACACCAGCAGCAGCTTACCTGGCCAGCCCGGTCAAAGAAGTACGACGCAATGAAGAGCTTCGACGCGCCCTGACCCCGACCACCACTCCACACCCCTCCAAATGTGCACTCCTCGAAGGAGCACGACGGAGCAGGGTCGCCAGCAAGGGCCCCTCCCAGTTCCAACGCCTTTGCTGCGATCAGTGCACACTCCGCTGCACTCCCTCCCGTCGGCAGCGCATGTGCCTGGACCTCCTCTGTGCCATACACGTACTTGTCTGGTGGGAGGGTTTGAGGGAAGGGGGGTTGGGGTTGGTGAGGAGGAGGGGTGTGTAAGTGTTAGAGAGGATACAAGCAGAGACATTACCAGGGATACAAGCACACTCTTGGCACTTCCTGCTACTGGCAGCGCCCGTGCCTTGACTTCCTCTGTGCCGTACACCTACTTGCCTGGTGGGAGGGTTTGAGGGGGGTGGGGTGGTGTTGGTGGGTAGGGGAGGAAGGAAGAGGGGTGAAAGTGTTTCTGGGGATACTACCTCAGATTCTGCATACTCTGTGGCACTCCCTCGTGCTGACAGAGCCACAGCATTGACCTTTTCTGTGCCGTCCGTCCACGTACTTGTCTGATGGGAGGGTTTGGTTGGAAGGGTAAGGGGCTATACACGCTCTCTTAGTACTCCCATCCAATCGTAATTTGGTTTATGCAGCCAAAGTGTTTACACCACTTGCAGCTGCAAAGACGCTCCTTCCTCCTGCTGTGCCCCACCAATCAACGCCAGAGCTGTTCGGCACATGAGCATGCCTCTCATTCACGTTGATTGCACTCTTCACAATTCCCCCCCTGGAGATCACACAAATACTCTTCACGATCCGTGCTGCTCACCATGCATCATCTTTAGCCTAAAGCAGGGCACACATCACTTTTTGCCCCCCTCCCCCCCCCCCCCCTCCCTCCTTACCCATGCTTGCATATGACATCGCAATCTTTAGGCAGGGGCACACATGCCCCCCGCTACTCATGCTTGCATACGAAAAACCATTATCCTCTCGCTGCCTCACCACTAACCAACGCCGCCAGTGAGTAGCACGCCACGTCCTGATGTGCATAGATCTCACACTCTTCTCTGCCTCAACCCTCATCGCCACTACTGTCACTTCCATTGAGCGGGCATGTCCCTCACACACACCCACTTATTTGCTTGCGTTTTTGCTCCACCACCTCTCTGTGTCTTCCCCACCACTCACCGTCAGTGCCCTTGGGTAAGCATGCATGTCCCTCGCTGCCTGGTGGCTTCGCCTTGAGCACCTGAGCGCGCGCTGCCATCAGTCCGAAGCCCAGGTAGCTGGGGGTTCATCAAGGGATGAGGGTAGGGGATGCCACACAGCACATGCAACGAAGTAGCACGGATGAAGACAAGGGGATCCCACAGGGCATAAGTTCTCTGCCTTGAGCACCTGAGCGAACACTGCCATCAGACCAAAGCCCAGGTAGGTGTGGGTTCATTGAGGGAAGGGGAGGGCATGCCACACAGCAACTTCGATTTGACAATGGAGCACGGTTGACGGGGAGAAAAGCAAGTTCTCCACAAAGAAAACTACTGAGCTCTTTATGTAGAATAATCGTGAGCTCGAGCTGCCATCAGACCCAAGGCAAGATAACTAGGGGTTCATTGAGGAATTAAGAAACGGGGAGGGGATGGCAGACAGGACATGCAACGACGGCGCATGCATGAAGACAAGGGTAGACGACTGAGTTCTTCCAATAACACGGTTTCGAGGCGTGCACGCTTATTACCACACAGTTCTGCTGTATTCGCACACAGGTTACCACACTTGCTAGCCAAGCCCGACAAAGCACAACTCTTGGGGCTGCGTAGATTGTGTGAGTCAACCGTTTGCAAGACCATCTCTGTCCCCACATGTTCCCGTAGGCTCCATACGTTTTGTCATGATTTCTCCTGAGCTACCCTTTGAATCCTCTGGAACCCCATTGTCAGCCATATTCAAATCCCCTATTTGCACACATATTCTGTACACTTGCCCATCCTGTAAAATCCTCGTTGCCCTCACCTGTGCACGTAAACCCCGTACGTCTTGCCCATTCCGCTCAGCCTCCGAACGTAACCCTCGGGCGCCTTCGCTGCCACGTCATCAGGCACCGCGTACGTCATCTGCACGGACCCGCCGCCCAGATCCACCACCCCCACTGTGTGGCTGATGTCCTTGCCGAGATTGCCCAGGAGGTAGTTCACAGTTACCTGCAGGGCGAGAGTATCGTGGGATAGTGAAGGGGACTTCAGATTTCCAGATCCACCACTCCCATCCCACCATGTGGCTGATGTCCTTGCCGAGATTGTCGAGGAGGTAATTGACCGTCACTTGCAGGGCGAATGGATAAGAGAGGGAGAATAGTGAAGCAGACTTCAAATTTCCAGATCCACCACACGAATGTGGGCCATGTCCTTACCGAGACTGCCCAGGAGGTAATTCACCGCCACCTGCATTGAAAGTTGTGAGAGACGGAGGATGCCGGGCCCGTTTTGAGAATAACCAGGCCATACCCCCCGTATGTCCGATGTCCTCGCCAAGGCCGCACACACACAGGTAGCTCGGACTTACCTCCGCGTTTTATTGCGAGATTACTGTTGCTTGAAGATATGGTTAGGACTTTGGCGAAGGGTATTGTCGGGGCGAGGCAAAGGCTAGACGGGGAACAGCGAAAGCCTGGGCCGACAAGGGGTTTTAGCTGGTCATGCACTGACAATCAGCCTCCAGCACAAACTTCTCATGCAACAGCGGGATTCAAGCAAATCTATCAGGACGCGCATACCAAGGGAGGGGAAGGCGGCTGCTTCTAGCGATCTTCCTGTGTGTGTGAAGAACAAAACCCTGGCAGGCACTCACCCACGCGAAGGAACCCTCGTCGGCGCCATCAAGGATCTTGACGGAATCGGCAGCGAAGGTGAAGGGGTACTCCTTGAGCATCTCCCGGACCTGAGGAGAGCGAGATATTGAGAGGGCGAGAGGGCGAGTCAGACGCGTGAGGAGGAAATCTTCAGGACTAGAGACGGAACAAACAGCTGGGACTGTTAGGGCTTCGATGGTCAAGAGATTCGATGCAATTGAACAGTAAAGGAGGGAGATGAGCGAGAACCAATGGCGGGTCGTAAAAAAGCTTACGGCTTGGAGAATGTTGTCAGCGAGGTCACCAGGGAGAAGGCGCAGACCAGCCGTTGCCTGCACAGGGGAAACAGCTTGCATGTCAGTGATTCTCAGCAAGACAAAACGACAGACTGGCCTGAGATCTCAGAGCGAAGCTCGAGCACAACGGATCACGATATCAAAAGATAGTACAGGAGAATCGGAGCTCGCATTGTCACGCCAACACTGTGCGGTGTACCGCATTTCCAATAACGAGACTCACTCCGACGCGGATGGGCGTGGTGGAGCGGACTTCCTCAGGGACGACGGTGAGCGCCTTGTCGATAAGCGGACGGAGCGAGTCCGCCGCTCCTTTGGCGTTTTCGCGGAACGAGCTCAGACCTGGCTTGAGCTGCAACGCAGATGGTGACAACAAAAGTTACGAGTATCGATATGTCAGTGGAGAGATGATAAGGAAAATAGAAACGTCAATGCCTAAAGTTCGCATGATGACATTGCGAGGGAGGGAGTAGGAACCGATTTTTTTGCCAAGATCAGGAAAGGACGTCTTCGGAGGACGAGATCTGGACCATCGACCCATTGATTCTAACATGGCAGTGACAACCTGAACTGCAAATGTTATTAGTTCTTCGAAGCCATGTTCTAAATTAGAGCAAGTTAGAGGGGCAGACACGTACCGCAACAAACAACTCCAAGTCATCGCCGATCTCCATCAGTTCGAGATTGGGGTTGAACTGGTACACGTGGATCCGGCTCCCAGTGCTTCCGGCGTCGATAATGACGGCATACTTGTTCTCTCCTCCAGATTGCATTTTCGCCACCGCCTTGTTGACTTCATCTGCTGCGCTGTGATGGATGACGCGGTCGTCCGTGATAGGCTCCCCGTGAGGCATAAATAGAATAATGAAGATAATGAGGAAGATTGGGACGGAAACGACGACGATGACCCCGCGATAGTGGAACAGCTTCTCCCAGGTGGACTCATGTCGTCGCCTCATGGTTGCTTATTGTCTGTGCACTGAGATTGACGACGAGGAGGCGAACGAGTACTACAAGAGCACTAACGTGCCGCTGTTGGGTGGTCAGCTGTGCTGATGGCCTGGCCTGTCTGAGTGCTTCCTGATTCCACCGTAGGCTTTCCTTGATAAAGAATAAGGACAGGAGGATCACCCGTCAGATGGGAAACCACAGAGGTTACTACCACGAAACAAGACCTAGCTATGCTAAGCTAACCTAGGCCAGCCTGCTACCTCGTCAGACTTGCCCTGCAGTGAGCCACAATCCCAGTGAGTGAACAAAACATCAAATAACCCTGGTTGACTCCATGGCAAAACTTTTCCGAGGTCTAGCGGTGAAGCCAGGCCAGCCGAACTCCTCCTTGGGAACATCCACGGACCACCAACTACTTCAGCAACATCGCTGGGATTGGGAGCTTGCAGGTAGTTTTGATGGTCCAATCCAACCGTCCATCTTCCAACCCCTTTACCTCCCAGGCCTCGGGAGATCCTGAGGCATCGTTCCTTCCTTGGCTGCCTCACTTGTCCGCCAAACCGTCAGGTTGAAGGCCTGGTCGTCAAACTCGCTGTATCTCCCGAAATGTCGTGACTCCCGAGGTTCTGTCTCCCAATGACATACAAGCACAGGGTAACGACCGGCTGCTTCTGCTAGTTTGCGCGTCGCAACTGCCGTCAGATATCTCCGCTATTAGCACAGAAAGCCAGGCAGCGATAGATTTTCTGAAATTGACTTCGATTTCACACTTGATGTGAAATAAGCAAACATCAAACAGCAAAGACATTAGCCTGTACAATCTAGCAAGATTCTACATAGCTTTTTGTGCACGAGGTGTGCAAGGCAATGTGCAGCCCACAGCTCCTACCACGAGCGAGCATTCCACACAAAAGCCTGCCTTCCACACCTAACTCTAAAGAGCACGACTTATTTCCTGCCTATCAGCTGGATGCTACTTGAACCCGCAATCCCTCTGTTGTGCGGTTGGTGGTGCCCAGCGTCGTAACTGGACACGGAGAATTCCTCACACAGTGTGTCGTCAGGCCCCGGCAGGAGAACCAAGCCCCAATGTTCAACCCGCACACATGCGAGGCAGGCAGAAGCAAGTGATCCGCACCCATCCTAGTACAGAAAGCAAGGATCGCCTGAGCTGTGCCTTCCCAGGTATGCGGGAGTGGTTGTGGTAGACGGACTGCAGGGACAGCTGCTTGTTGCTGGGACAATTGGGAATGTGGATCCCAGCCTGGCCCAGCTCCTCTGTTTTTCAAACTTGGGCTGAAATTGGAAACCATTTGGGGCGATGTGGTGCTGAGTTCAGGCGCAGCTGATCCTTGGAGGTCATCCAGATCAATAGCCTCAAAACGCACCTGCAAGGATGGACAGGGAAGGCGTCAGATCCTAGTGTTCACAACATCTGCAGACAGACGACACTTTTCATATCTGCTTTGGGAAAGGTGATCCCCTAAACCTCGCCAGCACATTGTTTCACTCATCGCGCCAGGCATAACATGCTAAAGCTACATTGCTGCACTTAAGGTACACCTTCCACACTACCTTCCACAATACACACATACGTACCCTGTAAGACCGAGCCATGGCGGCCATTTTCAGCGCTGCCGCTTTCGTCCGCCCATGGAATCGAGCGAGCTTTGCAGTCACCTCTTTAGCAGGCGTAGATGGGACCACAACCACGGTTTCCACGTCAGCCTTGCTGTCGGTCGACGTGGCGAGCTGCTGGCTATGTGCTGCCGCAGGGTGATCTGTAACGGAGACGTTAAAAAAGAGGATGTCAGTGGGAGGCCCCCATGCATTACTAACCACTATGACCAAGGAAGCCCACAAGACGGCAAGGAAAGAACGTACCGACATCATGGGACAGGTGAGCTGCCCTCCGCCATTGCGGTCCCTCTCGAGAATTTTCATTTTTAAGACAATTTCGAGAATTCTCGAAAGCAACGAAAGCACGTACCAACGTCGGAGAGGGGGGAGGGGGCGGGAAAGGGCTGAACTAGCGTCCGCCATTGCGTTTCCTTTTAGAGGATGTTCATTTTTTAACTACTTCTAAGGGTTTCAGGCGAAGAACGTACCGACAGCAGGGGGGGGTGAATTTCCGTCCGCCATTGCGGTTCCTGCTGCTGCTCCTGCTCCCGCCTCTGAACGCGACCTGGGCCAGTGATTCGGCGCATGCAGATTCTGCACCTGCTGCTGGTGCTGCCGTTCCTGCTGCTGTTGCTGCTGGCTACCTGATAAAGACCGCGGCCATTGGCCCTGTGCCTTCTGGTGCGGCTGATGCTGCTGGCTTGACGTGCCTGACCGCGTGCGGGGACTTGTAAGGAATGAGAACATCGCCGCGGTCGTTTTTTGCGGGGAGGCTTGGTGCGGGGACGGCTGCGCGGTCGGTGGGAGATGAGGGGAAGTGAGCGGCGGAAGCATTGTTAGCAGCTGCTGGTGCTGCGCGGCGACGTCGCTCCGCGAGCGGCGGAGCAGCAGCGGAGAAGGAAGGTGATGCCCGCGGTGAAAGACGACGATTAGGCGGTCCGCGGGGGATAGGCGGAACTCTCCCCGCGCGGCGGGATTCTCGTGCGTACCGAGGAACGAGGTGGACTTGTAGCCTGTAGCGAGGAGATCTTCAAACGCGGATATGCAACCCTTGCACGTGTCGACGGCGAGGACGACAGTGCGGCCGTCACCCACGCCGTAGAGGCGGTCGACGCGCTTGGACAGAGGCATAGCAACAATATGAAAGGTGTAGAGAGTGATGAAAATGGGTTCAGACAGGTAAAGAGCGCCGGCGCGTGTGAGTGTGGCTGAGAAGGCTTAGAAGCTAGCTGCTATTAAGCCGTAATTCACTACCATGTACGGAGAGTGACTCTGTTTTAGTGATTTGGCATCTCTTCACTAAGGGAGCTGCAGAATCTTACAGAGCCTATTTCCCGTACGCCGACTTTTATACAGAGACTGTAGAGAAAAAAATATTGGTTTGACCGTGAGAGTAGGCCGCAACGGCTAAAAAACAGGGTTCGTGCTAGCGGATGGTTCTGAGATAAGTCTAACTGAAGCTAATAAGGAGCTACAGTCATGCGGTGAAGCAGAAACGGGTTGGCCATGCGGAGCGTAGCGGGTTGGGTCAGCTTTAGCAGTTACTATGAATTCACGAACGGCGATGGATGGCAGACATACGTCAGCGGGCAGAACAGAAGACTCGCAGGACGATATCTCACAGTTAGAATGGCTTACGGAGTATCGAACCGTATATATGTCCATGAACCACTCACACCGCGAAGTGACAACCGCAAAATCTAGGACGAACGGGGTTGATGTTGATATTGAAACCGGAGGAATGCAAAAAAACAGAAGTCGATGCGTTGACGGCGTGCTTTCCACATTGTTGCTCCAGATGAGGTGGGATGGGATGGAGAGGGACAGGGAGAATGGTTTGTCTGCTGGTCAAATGTGCATGCCTGCACGAGAGGCTTCGGCTTCGTGAGTGTATGGAACAGTATGGCGAGCAAGTTGCCCAGCGTGCAGTCATTCTGGTTGTAACCGTTACTCCACAACAGCATGCTGCTCCTGACTTGCTGTGAGGTGCATCCCTGCTCCATGGACAAGTGTTGCTCAATGCTAATGTCGGTTTCTTCTGGCTTTTCCTTGGGTTTGTTTGAACGTACGAAGCCTCAGGAATGGTGTTGGTTTGGGGGCCTCGGATAGCGAATCCAGCCATCCCCGTGTTGGGCTCGGGGAGGGAGAGGGGGAAGAGGGAAACGCCCTCTTGGAAATGTCGAACACCCTTCGAAATGAAACTGGGTGGAGGCATCGTAAAGGTGTCGGGTTTAGGACCCTCGGTAAAGAAGTTTTCCGAAAGTTGAAGTGTTTTTCCTCACGGTGTGGGGTTGTACACACTCGTCTGCAAAAGGGGGAAACGAGACCACCAGCTGTTTTACTATACCCGTCCTAATTCCCCGACTTGGCCGCTTTCCCTTTGGGAAAACTGACGAGAACAAAATTGGGATGGTTGGTTGGTGGATAGAGAAGTGAAGGGACAACAGCTGCTGCTGGGCGGGACATCTGTGTGGCAGCAATTTGAGCGAGCATTGCGATCAACCAATCGAATGCGAGAGGCGTGAACAACCAGGAGCCAGCTGTTCACTGTCGCCACCACCACGTGTTCCGAGCCTGTGGTGAGCTGGAAGGCAGCATCAAGGTACAGTGTAACCGAACCACCAAATCTGGGACTTCTGGCTTGGTGGTCCCTTTCTGAAGACCCAGGTTATCCGCCAAACCAAGACTAGCCAGGTTCGGGGTTGACCAGTGTGTCCAGCCATGCAGATAACAGGGTAGGTTTAGCAGGTACGGGATGAATTGGCAGACAATTCCCAAGGGGCCATCCACGCATGGATTGCCTGGAGTGTAATTCGCGAAGCATGTTACAGTAGGTAAATATGTAGCGTGTCGCATACACCTGGTTAGAGTTCGCCACGTGCTTCAGCGGAAGATGCGGTCCGAAACTCACTATCGCGATTCGAGATTCAGCGTGCATGTTGGCCAGCAACCTAATGCCGTCTTATAATTCCACGTTGCTTCTCGGTAAAACACCAGAGCCGAAGCGCTCGATACCTGTGACCTTTCTAAATGCGTTACGCATTCTTCACTGCCAAAATGGACCTCGTCATATTCGGACCTCTAAAAACTGTTTTCAGTTATCGATTACGTAATGATCGGCTTGGACTCCTGCGACCTTCTGTGCGGTTCCTGATTAATTACGGGACGCGTCACCATAGTCGAATTGCTGGGACCGCAGCTACGTTTGGAGCTTTGGATTTTGATCTGGCAGCGAAGGTCTTCCGTGATCGCAACTCTCATGCAGCTGCTGATAAAAAACTCCCTCGATGGCAGCTTTTACGTCCTGGAAGTGGAATCTCCCAAAGCGACCGTAGAATCCGTCATGTCCACGATCCAGAAATTCACTGGCATACCTACCTCCCAGCAGATGCTGCTTCACGAGGGCCGTTGGATGAAACCGTTCTGCTACCTGAACCAGGTATATTTCTGTGGGAATCAGGCAGCATACATGAAGTATGCGCACAAGCTCCTGTCAGATTACAATGTTGGGCCTGGTGCTGTTCTTACGTTAGCTCCTTCTGACATGACGAATTGGAGGGCAAGGCTGAAGAATGCTGGCTGATTGAAATGATGCTGGCTGCGGACTATGGTGGGAAGAGCGTAGCAGCTTTCTGTGTAGATACCTGACATGCCGCAGGAGCTAGGTCTACACGAGTTTCTGGTTAGAGTGTGTGTTGGGTATATGCAATTAAGTATAGGCTAAGAGATGAAACGCAACAGAACCCACAATGAGAATATTAACAGTGTGTGAGGTTGCACCACTCAGAACGAAAGGAAAAAGCATATCAAGCTCCCCCTTTTGCATTCACAAGGCCACAGCTAAGAGACAGACAAGCTAACAACCGCTGGACAAAGATTCTGTCACTCCTATGCGTAGCTGCCTTGTGAATGCAAAAGGAAAAGCTGCAAGCAAGCCTGCGTGTATTACCGTTTGCAGTGGTACTCCGCATGGCGTTGATTGGCTTCAGAATCGAAACTAGAAAGCCCTCTTATTTGATGACGCCATCCCGGTCGACGGAACCATCCATCCTCCAGCTGCTCCAGCACCATCCTCCATGGGCCGATCCGTGCTCAGGTACCCACTCTCCTATTAAGAATATGCCACAAGAGCTCCTCCTATTTACTACCAAACACCACTGCTTCCAGAACCACCCCTCTCCACGTACCCAATGCAGTTGCCACAACCAATCCTCTCCATTCACCTCAACAGTGTCCAGATGAGCTTCTTGAACCCCTTATCCTGCAGCATCATCCTGACAGACAGATCCACGTACTGCCATGTCACCAACCCTCCTCTGCCACCTGCGGCGGCTGAAATCCACCAGCAGTGGCCGGTACAGCGGCTCATCGTCGTCTTTTCCAGCACACGACGCCACGAATGCATCAGCACTGTTAAATGGAGGAGCGCCATTCTCCTTCCCCACGGACCCTGCTTTTGACGCCAGCCCCCATTCGATGATAAAGCAGCCAGCGAACGAGCCGTCAGCTCCGCAATTGTATTCAGTTAACCCTTGAATTGCCCCTAGATTGCATCCGCCATGGCATGCAGCTGCCTCTCTTCTCGCCTGTGCGGGAAATTTCAGGCACATCGACTCCTTTTCTGCAGCTGAACCCTTGCTTATAGCAGCCGCTGCCACTGCTGTCCGACGAGGACTCTCCTGAATTTGCCTTCCTGAAAGGTTCACGGGTCGCGGCCATGATGTTTTGCTGGTAGCGTGTCGAAACGCCTTGAGCCGATCGACATGGAGAATAGTGGCTTCCGTTTTTCTCGCAAGGGGAGCAAACAGCTCGTGGCTCCCTTCCGCTATGGTCACGCCTTGAAAAATGGACGAACCGCAAGGAGTCGGACGGCTTGAAAGTCTCAAGGTTGAATGGAATCCGGCTAGGGCTGCTTCAGCCTCCGTGTTTTGAGATGCGGTTTCCTGCACCAAAGCTGATGGCGAAATCTCCACTGTAATAATGAATTTGCTGCCCAGGGAGGAGAGGTTACTCGGGTTACAGGGAGTAAAGATGGAAATAACAGATGGTGAAAAGACGAGTTCAAACGAGTACAAAAACAAACCAAAAGAGTAAGGAAAATCAAAACCAAAACAGAACAGAACAATACGAGAACACAGGGAAAAGAAAGACAGGAGAGAATCGTGAGACCGCAAAATTTGTTTATCATTATTCGTGAAGACATTACTACCTGGTCCCCCGAAGCACCGTGAGCATCGCCGTGCATCCACGAAACGCTCCCACTGCATATCCCACGGCGACCATGTCCACCAGACGACGCAAACTGCGCACTTGACGGATCAGACTCAGATTAGTCGGAGTCCGCCTGAACACCGTGTGTGCTGTTGCATCTTCGGGGAAATAAGAGACTGTGACAGGGTGAAGCGCGAGAATGACGTCGCCTGGAAGGAGGTTCTTCGGGGTTAGGGTGGACCAACAGCTGCTTATCACGCCGACGACGCTGGTGCTTTTGCTGGGAGTGTTTGGTTCGACGGGGTGGCAACGACTCGGACTCATTCTTTCGTAATCCGAGGCACTTAGGAAATGCCTCAAGTGGGTGTGTTGACGATAGTGTATGGATTGGGTTGAGCAAACGAGGAAACGGAATGGCTAATTCGTCGGACGAATGAGGCTGTCTAGTATCCCTCAATCCTGAACCTAAAGTAGCTGAAATTCTGGTCAATGGTGAACGGTGAGTTCGAGGTTCGTGCTTCCTATTCACGAATGGTACGGATATTTACGAACCGAGTATATGCGTGACTCCATTAAACGGCTGCGCAGAGCGCAATGAGCACAGCAGACGTTGCTGTGATGGAGCGGATATGACTGCCTCCGGCTAACGCTTCATCTAACCCCTCCGGCTGATGCGTCCTGTTATTCGCGAACCTCGCTGATTCTGCGGAATACCTTCAAACGCCCAGCGGTTGCTCTTTTAGCTACATCCCCAACCCATATCGATTCGTTCTTGTCATTGCTTTCTTGTGCCAGTGCCCCTTCTTTTCCGGACATAGGCCTCATGATTTTAGTTCTTGTGGAGTGTCAACCCACTAGGAGGTGCCAGAAATCTCCACTAAACTACGGTTTCGTACGATGTGAAAACGGTGGAAAAGTCATATAGCGTGGTTTAATTTGTTTCTGAGCAACAAGGTGCCAATTTGTTTCTGGGTCAATGGTGCCAATGACAACGGAGATGTGCGACTCGGTTGCACCGCACCCACAGATCCGCTGACTTTTGTCGGTTCCAGTAACCTCCCGCCTACGCTCACGCCTGTCAGAAGGCGTTAGGGCGCGTAACCATTTTGCATTTTACGATTTTGACGGATAGTCCGCTTAAAACGAAGTACGGTCCACCTATCGAGAACGGTACCGTCCGACTGACTTTTGCAACTTCGGACTGTCCGAAGACAGTTGTGACACTTTTTTCATAATGTACAGTTTCACGATCTCTGTACGAGCGTTACGCAATTCTCTCAAGCTCGCAAACGTCGTTATCGAATAATTTTTGTTTATGGGTTGTCTCTGGTTGGTCAATGTCGATTCGTGTGAAGTAGCCTCGTACGTTTTTGTTGGTGGAAGAGGTGACTCGACAATTTTTGCGTCGCCCTCCAATTGTGACCAGCATGAGGAATGTATCGAGATGCTTCTGCAAGTACTGAAGTGTGACAACGGCACAATAAGTTTTTGTGGCGGGCAAGCTGAAATGTTTAGGCGTTTGGTCTATAAGCCTCCGTAGAGATCTGGGAGGGTACGGTAGTATACACTACCTATGCCCTCTAGCACCGGTTACGACCGTGGTGTTTTTGCATTGTACGTGTATAGTGCATATTTCACCTACCAAAAAAAAAAAAAAGCAAGGACTGTTGGACAGTCCGTTTGGGATTCGGACCGTCCACGGTTCAGATTTCGGACCGTTGAAGTGGGAAAAAGTGTCACTACAGTCCGTTTTGCTGGCGATGTCGCCAACACCTTAGGGAGCACGATCACGACATTTTGCGAAGCTTGTTACCAATTCGCTACCAGGACGGTCCACGTTCGAACCGTCGGGTGCAAAATGGTTACGCGCCCTTCTCTCGTTTCTCCCGGAGATTGGTCGGATATTGTGCGCGAAAGTGAAGATCAGGCTGCCTGATCTCGGCAAAACTCGGTCGATGACTGTCGGAGCGTTGATTGGCTGACTTTCAATTTCCGCCGTGCACGAGCGGTTACCACCATGGTAGCCTTCACCAAAGCATGGAGATTGCTCAAGGGCGCTCCGCCATGTTTGAACCGCTGGATTCCTTGTGGCGATCCACGAGGCAGAAAGTGGCGCGAACAAGTGGCGTTTCGGCCCCTACAAGTAGCCGCGGTTACCATTTCAGCAGCTTGTGGCTCTGTGGGATCCAGACCGTGAAAATATTTATATTCTGGCTTTTCCCTTCCAGGTTTTGCATACAGTACCTACTGTTCTCTGTTTCTCGTGTCTAGACATTATCGAGGCTTATGCTAGTGGAGAATCCTCCCTTCAAGTCGAACATTCTGGCGATTCGCCAGGAGCGTCGTCAGTTTTCCACGTGGACTCGCTTCTGATTCACGCAACTGGGCTGCTACTAACAATTCTTAGCTAAGCGTTTCCTGATGCAAAATCCCAGCATTCGACCCCTTAGCAAAGCACATTCACCTCCACTGCTTCATTTGGTGCTGAATCGGCACAATTATCATTTCAATGCTACTGGTCGCCTAATTCACGGATCCTGGTAGGCAGCATAGCTAGGCAGTAGGGTGGCCTAGTGCCTACATCCCTAGTTGCCATGCTGGCAGCTTTAAAGCCGTGCTTACCACGGCGCCTCGATCGTGTCCTCTGCACCGCACTGCACCCATCCGCAGCGCACCGCGCGCTACAGCCAGTCCAGTACCGAGTCTTAGTTCTCTGGGATCAGGCTCAGGCCGCCGTCGGAACAGGATGGGTTCGCGGATTCACCGCAAATGCCGGCGGAGATTCAGGGAACGGGAGTAATGCAGCAGGCAAGAAGGGGGATGTGGCTGCGGATGCGCCGAATGCAAGCGAGAATGGGGATTCTGCGAGAAGGGGCCTTGCGGCGGAAGTAGTTGCGGAAGGCGGAGGAGAATCCGCGCGCATGTCGGAAGCATCAGCGGAAGGGGCGGGGGAAGCGGCGGGGGAAGCCGCCGCTAGTGAGGCATCGGCGGAAGCGGTGGGGGAGGAAGTCGCAGCGGATGCTGTAGCGCACGCAGGGTACCATGGCGCCCGGCGCGGCCGCATTAGACGCCGTGATTCGCGCATCAAGTCAGCCACGGAAGTCAGGGGAGCCGCTTCCGCTCCCGCCGCAGCGGCTGCTAACGCTGAGGCGGCCGCGCGTGGGGAAGGGAATCCCGTGGTGGGGATTGCGGGGCAAAATGCTGGCGCGTCCGCGGAAGGCGGGGCGGAATTTGTGATGGGAGAAGGCGCAGCGGGGGAAGGAGCGGGCGAAGCGGGGGGGTTGGCGGAAGAGACGTCCATCGTCCCCGCAGGTCCGCGCCCCGAGCATTACCCGAAAGTGCTCGCGATTCCGCTCACACGAAGGCCACTGTTCCCAGGCTTCTACGTCCCCGTTATAGTCAAGGTGCGGCCTCGCATGTGTTCCGTTTCTCTATACCGTCAAGGTGCAGGAGGGAAGGAGGGGAGCGCGTACCGTTCGAATTTCCCCTACGTGTTTTCATGCCCGCCCCCCCACCTCTCCCCCCGCCGACCCTCCCTGCTGCAGAACCCCAAGCTGATGCAAGCGCTTTTTTACACCGCATGCCCTCCCCCTTCCCTACGTCCACACTCCCCAAACCCCTAATCCCTCCCCCTTCCCCCCTTTCCCTCTTGGCTGCAGAATCCCAAGCTGGTGGCGGCGCTTCAGGAGCTCAAGGCGCGAGGGACACCCTACGTGGGCGCGTTCCCCTTTCTTCTTGTCCCCACTCTTTCCCCTCTCTTCTTTCTTCCACTCCCCCCACTTCTCATGGCTGCTGCAGAACCCCAAGCTGGTGGCGGCGCTGCAGGAGCTCAAGGCGCAAGGCACGCCCTACGTGGGCGCATTCCTTGTCCGGGACGACCACGCTGCCCCTGCTTCTTCTTCTGCCGCTCATCCTTCACCTAGTGCAGCCGGAACAGCAGGAGCAGAGGGAGCAGATGGGGCAAAAGGAGCAGCCACAAGCAGTAGCAGTGACAGGCGAGAGTTGGGCCCAGAGAGGAGTGATGGCGTTGGCGTTGCTGAAGAGTGGGGCAGGGAGGTAGCTAGTGGAGGGGGAGAAGGGGTGGGGGGAGGGAAGCCGCATGGGGAGGCGGATGGAGCAGGTGCAGGGGTGGGAGAGGGGCCCGGGGAGGGGGAAGGTGTTGCGGGTGGGGGTGGAGGGGAGGCGTTTATTAAGGGAGGGGAGCTTTATAGCAAGCTGCACGAGACAGGGACGTTCGCTCAGGTGAGAAGTGGTGGAGAGCGGTGGTGATGCAAGGGGTGGGTTTAGTGGGGTTTGAAGGCAATGGAAGGGTGCTCAAGCCGTTGATGCTGGTAATCAAGCCACCTCTCTCCACCTCTCTCCACCTCTCGCACTCCTCCCTCCCCCCCTCTCCCGCCTCTCCTCCCTCCCCCCCTGCAGGTGATGCAGGTGATCAAGCTGCTTGACGGGGAATCAGCACAGGTGCTGCTGATGGGGCACCGGCATGTGTGCGGTTGGTGGTACCGCAATACCACCATTTGCCAACACACACGCCCACCCTCCTCTCCCACTCCCCACTCTCCTCCCTCCCCCTCTCCCTCTACAGGTGATGCAGGTGATCAAGCCACTGGACGGCGACTCAGCGCAGGTGCTGCTGATGGGGCACCGGCGACTGAGGCTGACAGGCATGGTGGGGGAGGACCCGCTCACTGTCACCGTGGACCATATCAAGGTGGGGATGGGTGGGGAACGGTTTCCTTATAGTCACTCTAGGCCGCGCAAAACTCGCGGCCATCCTCCATAGTGTGATCATGTTGCGTGCTGCTGATGGGGCACCGGCGGCTGAGGCTGACAGGCATGGTGGGGGAGGACCCGCTCACTGTCACCGTGGACCATATCAAGGTGGGGATGGGTGGGGAACGGTTCCCTCATTTCATAGACACTCTAGGCCACTCGTATCGTGGAGGTGAGGCTGACAGGCATGGTGGGGGAGGACCCGCTCACGGTCACCGTGGACCATATCAAGGTGGGGATGGGTGGGATGTGGTGAAGGTGGGTGTGGGTGGGAGAGTGACTGGGGTGGCAGTTCTTCTTTTTGTGATGTGTGGTGTGAGGAGGTTGACAGGCATAGTGCAGAGGACTTGCTGACTGCTCTATGCATGTCACCGTGGTGGGCCATGTGAGGTTGGGAATGGGTGGGATGTGATGAAAATGGGTTCGGGAGAGTGGGAGGAGGAGTGTCAGTGGTGCTTTCTTTCAGTGTACGCCACACACCAGGATCTGCCGTACGACAGCAACAGTCCGACGATTAAAGGCACGGTGATGGAGGTGCTGAGCACGCTCAAGGACCTCGTGAGGCAAAACCCTCACCCTCTTACACACATTGCACCCTACTGCACCCCACTGCACCTCTTCATTTTCATCCCATGCTCATGCCAGGATCTGCCGTACGACAGCAACAGTGCGACAATAGAAGGCACGGTGATGGAGGTGCTGAGCACGTTCGAGGTGCTGAGCACGTTCGAGGACCTTTTGAGAATTCTAAAAAAAATCCCAGCCTCGTGTTGGTGGTACTCTCGAGTCTCGACCTTTACCCACCTACACACCACATTGCACCACATTGCATCCGACCACACTTTCTCCTGCACCTCAGGATCTACCATACGACAGCAACAGTGTGATGATTAAAGCCATGGTAATGGAGGTGGTGAGCACGCTCAAAGACCTCGTGAGGCACAACCCTGCCTTCGCCCTTTCGCACCGTCCCTTCCCCTCCTTATCTATCCTCTGTCTTTACCGCGCCCCATTCCAGGATCTACCATACGACAGCAACAGTGTGATGATTAAAGCCACAGTAATGGAGGTGGTGAGCACGCTCAAGGAACTCGTGATGGTGCTGATGCCCCCAGCCTTCATCCTCTTGCACCCCACTGCACCGCATTGCATCACGTCGCACTCTTGCGCACCACCATATACCAGGATCTCCCCTACGACAGCAACAGCGTGATGATAAAAGCCACGGTGATGGAGGTGGTGAGCACACTCAAGGACCTCGTGAAGCACAACTCTTACCCTCATACACACATTGCACCCCTCTGCACCCCCCCCTTCACCTCAGGATCTCCCCTACGACAGCAACAGCGTGATGATAAAAGCCACGGTGATGGAGGTGGTGAGCACGCTCAAGGACCTCGTGAGGCACAACCCGCTGTACAAGGAGCACATTGCAATGTTCGTGCAGCACGTGGGCGAGTTCAACGCCTCCCGCATGGCGGATTTCGGGGCTGCTTTGACAACTGCGGATGAGCCGACCTTGCAATCCGTTCTGGAAGAGCTCGATGTGAGTCCTGGCATCGTGTGCAGATGTGTGTGCGTGTGAGTCGCCATCACCCGTGAGGCACAACCCACCGCTGTACAAGGAAGGAGCACATCGCCCTGTTCGTGCAGCACGTGGGCGAGTTCAACGCCTCCAGGATGGCTGACTTTGGCGCTGCACTCACGACCGCAGATGAGCCGACACTCCAGTCGGTTCTAGAAGAGCTGGATGTGAGTCGTGGTGGTGGCACCATGTGTACATGTGTGTACATGTGTGTACATGTGTGTACATGTGTGTACATGTGTGTACATGTGTGTACATGTGTGTACATGTGTGTACATGTGTGTACATGTGTGTACATGTGTGTACATGTGTGTACATGTGTGTACATGTGTGCTTGTAGATGTGTGTGCATGCGTTTGTTGTCTGTGGTGTAGTGGGTGCATGGGTTCTTGCTGGCACTGTGTGACATTGTAACGAGATGACTTTTGAGTCGACTCAAAAGTCACCTCTTAGATGTGTGTGCGTGCGTTTGTTGTCTGTGGTGTAGCATATGCATGGGCTCTTGTCTGCCCTGATCCTGCACCTGATTTCTCCCTCTATCCGATTCCCTTCTTCTTCCTCCTCTCCCTCCCCTCGTGTCAATTGCCCCCTTTCCATCCCTACTCTCCCAGGTGGGAAAGCGCCTCTCCCTTGCGCTCATGCTGCTCAAGAAGGAATTAGAGCTCGCCAAGCTGCAGGTGAGGGGTGATGTGCTTGTGCGTTCTGAGCATCGTTTTGCATTTTCACCATGTGCATTCCGCATCCTTCCTTGTTTTCTCTGTGTCTACCTTTCTTATTTTCTCCTTTATCCGTGAACCGCTTGACGAACAAGCCTAACCTCTCTCTTTTTTTTTTTCCCTCAACTCCCTTGTCCTCACTTCCCTTGTGCACTGGCAGGCCAACATAGCCAAAGGCGTGGAGGAGAAATTGGCAGGGGAGAGCCGCAGATACATGCTCATGGAACAGCTCAAGGCCATCAAGAAGGTGCGAGGGGATCAAAAGATAAGATGGGATCTAGAGCGTGAGGTGATTGAACAGGTGAGGCCTGTGTGTGCTGGGAGGGGAGTCGCCAGTACATGCTCTTGGAACAGCTCAAGGCTATCAAGAAGGTAAGTGAGGAGCGATGCTTGGAACAGCTTGAGTCAATGCCAAAGGTAACCCCCGTTTTGTTTGTTTGTTTGATTTTTTTTTTTTAATCTGGGAGGACATCCTTCTTCGACTTTGTTTTCTTCTTCATTCTATTCTCTCATCAGCCTCTTTTGATGCACTGTCCTCCCATCTTCCACCTCTTCTGCTCTTTCAGGAGCTGGGGCTGGAGAAGGATGACAAGACTGCACTCATTGGTGAGTCATGCTGTCCTGTGCCGTGCTACAATGCCACGTCATGCCATGCCATCCGATTCCACGACTGCATGTATCCCACTCTCTTGCTTGGCACTGCAACCTTCTTCTCCTTTCTCCACTCACCTGCATCGTGACTTTTGAGTCGACTCAAAAGTCACCTTCACCTTTCTCCACTCACCTGCATCGTGACTTTTGAGTCGACTCAAAAGTCACCTTCTTCACCTTTCTCCACTCACCTGCATCATGCTCGCCTCTCACATCACATCCCATGTGTGCCCAGGACGCTTCAAGGAGAAGCTTCAGCCGTTTCAGCAGAACTGCCCGCCAGCAGCCATGCAGGTACCTGCACGACGCTCTAGCAACTTTTGAGGCGCCTCAGAAGCAGCCATGCAGGTACCTGCACGACGCTCTAGCAAGAAGTACCTGTTGTGAGAATTTCTCAAATATTTACTTACTATTTGTTGGTTGTGGTGTGATTTATCTTGACGTCGCCATAACAACCTCCTCTCTATCGCTCCTCCTGTGTACCTCCTCCGCCCCCCTTCCATGCATGTCCCTTGTATCTCCTCGTTTTCGCTCCTTCTTGTATTCCGTCTTTCGTCCTGAGGTGTTCAATAACCGCCACCAGGTGATAGAGGACGTGCAAGCAAGAAGGAGATACAAGAAGGACGAGATGGCGAAGCTACAAGGGTTGGAGCGAGCTCATATGTCTTCTTGCTCTCCCAATCCAAAGCTACCCCAAGTTCAGTCAAACTTGTATTACACCCTTCACGCATTGGGATCGCCACACCAGGTGATAGAGGACGAGATGGCGAAGCTGCAGGGGCTGGAAGCAAGCTCCTCTGAGTTCAACGTTACGCGCAACTACCTCGACTGGCTCACGTCCATTCCCTGGGGGCACTACAGGTGGGGGGGGGGGGGGGGATGGAGATGGGTGCAGATGGGTGGAGATGGGTGACTGGGTGACTGGATGGATGGCTGGATGGATGGGCAAATGGGTGGGTTGAGGCGAGTTCCTCTGAGTTCAACGTGACGCTCAACTACCTCGACTGGCTCACGTCCATTCCCTGGGTGGATGATGGGTGGATGATGGGTGGATGATGGGTGGATGATGGGTGGATGATGGGTGGATGATGGGTGGATGATGGGTGGATGGGTGGATGGGGCAGCAGCAGGTGCTGGATGCGGGCCTGTATGGGCTGACCCCGCTGCTGCTTCCTTTCCGTTCCCCCATCCCCCGTACTGACACCCCCCCATTCCTGCTTTCTCGCAGCGAGGAGAACTTGGACGTGGTGCGGGCGCGGCAGGTGCTGGATGCGGATCACTACGGGTTTGACCGCACCTCCTTGTGTCCCCCATTTTCCCATGCGCCCGTTTACCTTCTGTCAGCGAGGAAAATTTAGATGTGGTGCGGGCGCAGCAGGTGCTGGACGCGGATCACTACGGGTTGACCGCACGGGTGCTGCCGTTCCCTCTCCCATTCCCTCATCCGCTGTTCCTTCGTTTTCCCATCCCCGGTCCTTGCCTTTTGTCAGCGAGGAGAATCTGGACGTGGTGCGGGCGCAGCAGGTGCTGGATGCAGATCACTACGGGCTGACGGATGTGAAGGAACGCATTTTGGAGTTCATTGCTGTTGGCAGGCTGAAAGGCAGCACGCACGGTATGTGTGGTCGACTTTTGAGACGTCTCAAAAGCACTCACGGTATGTGTGGTGTGGGTGAAAGGGGTGGCCCGGGTAGATGGGGTTGCTGGTGTGTGTGTGGGTTCTGGCTGGACATTTTCCGTGGCAAAGGTTGAAAATTTGCAGCAGCCGTGCCACTGCACTACTCTCGCCCTTGTCTCCCTCGTCCCGCATCACCCCAGTCTTCATTTGTCTCCCGTTGTATCTTCTCTTGTTACCCCGCGTGTGTTGCCACGTCATCCAGGCAAGATCATCTGTCTGGTGGGCCCACCAGGGGTGGGAAAGACGTCCATCGGTCGCTCCATCGCCAACGCCCTGGATCGCAAGTTCTACCGCTTCTCACACGTCCCTTGTCGCTCTTTGTCTCTCTTCTCTTGTTTCCCCTGGTGTGTGGTTGCTCTTAATCAGGCAAGATCATCTGCCTGGTGGGGCCGCCAGGAGTGGGAAAGACGTCCATTGGTCGCTCCATCGCCAACGCCCTGGATCGCAAGTTCTACCGCTTCTCTGTGGGAGGGCTGTCTGACGTGGCAGAGATCAAGGTAAGGCTCATCTGACGTGGCGGAGGTCATGGTTGGGCTTTTTTTTTGTTTTCACGCGTCCACAAACACATCACCATGGGGTTTTAAAAATCTGCATTGGAAACCATATTGCCTTTCCCCACTGTCTTTTGAGTCGACTCAAAAGTCTTTCGAAACCATATTGTCTCTCCCCACTGTCCCTTCACACCCTCTGAGCTGTCAAGAGAGGACAGGTGGGCTGCGGAGGCCTTACTTCCATCTGGTCTCTCCCCACTGTCCCTTCACACCCTCTCAGACGTCTTGTACCCCCTCCCTTTCTCATTCCCCAAACCTCTCTCTCCCAACCCGTTATTTCCCAATCCTCCCGTAATCCTGTTAAATCCCAATGCTCAGGGCCACCGACGAACCTACGTGGGCGCTATGCCAGGCAAGTTGGTGCAGTGCCTCAAGTTCACAGGTGTGGCGAAGGCAACCCCTTTTTGGTCGCCCTTGTGACGCCTTCGTGCCCCCCCGTCCTTCCTCAACCCACCCCACCATCTCAGGGTCACCGCCGCACGTATGTGGGCGCCATGCCCGGCAAGATGGTGCAATGCCTCAAGTCCACAGGCGTTGCCAACCCTCTCGTGCTCATTGACGAGATCGACAAGGTATGGTGTGTGGTGCGATGCGATTGAGGGTGGCATGCATCAAAGTGTGCGTGTGGGATAAGGGCCATGCCGCCATGCCCGGCAAGATGGTGCAGTGCGTCAAGTCCACAGGCGTTGCCAACCCTCTTGTTCTTATCGACGAGATCGACAAGGTATGGTGATGGGGTGCGAGTGAATAAGTGAGGGAGGTACAATTGGTGAGTGACGCAGACACCAAGGTGTGCGTGTGGGGTGGATTAGGGCCATGTGCACACAAGATGGCGCACTGCCTCATGTATAAAGGGAATCCGCTCATTCCCATTAACGAGATCGACAAGGTAAGTGTGGGGGGTGGGCCGTCTGTCGCAGCGGAGCGGACTAGTGTGGTGTGCAACGTGGGGGAGGGCGGGAGCATCAGTAAGGGAGACGTGGGATGGGGCCCATGCGCACACTAGATGGTGCAGTGCCTCGAGTCCACAGGGTTGGGTTCTTTTTCTAAGCGCCTCACAAAACACCTCAATGCACGCGGATTTTATACGGGGAGAATTTTTACCAGGGTGTGTGCGTGTGGGATGGTTTCTCCCCTCCCATTTCTCGGCCCATCCTTGCCCCAGCTGGGTCTGATCTGAGCCATGTGGGCGGGCAACCCAACAGGAACGCTGATGAATAGGCTTTTTGTGTACCCCAACTCTCCTCTCATCATAGTTTCCCTTGCAAACTTTATACACTGCTGCCCCTCCCCCTCTCCAATCTGTCGCTGCCAGCTGGGTAGGGGCCATGCAGGGGACCCAGCAGGAGCGCTGCTGGAGATGCTGGATGCGGAGCAGAACGCGTCGTTCCTGGACCACTACCTGGACGTGCCTCTGGACCTCTCCAAGGTGGGCCTTGTGTGTCTGTTGGTGTCTGTTGCTTGTGTGTGCCTATCAAGTGTGTATGCAAGTGCAAGTGCCACGGAGCAGAACGCGTCGTTCCTGGACCACTACCTGGACGTGCCGCTGGACCTCTCCAAGGTGTGTGCGTTTTGTGTGACTGTAGCAAGTGTGGCAAGTGCAAGTGGGTAGAGGCCATGTGGAAGCACCCAGCAGGAGCGCTGCTGGAGATGCTGGATGCGGAGCAGAATGCGTCGTTCCTGGACCACTACCTGCACATGCCTCTGGACCTCTCCAAGGTGGGGGCCTTGTGTGTCTGTTGGTGTCTCTCTGTTGTTGTGCACCTTTGAGTATGCTGACTTTTGAGTCGACTCAAAAGTTTTTGTGCACGCATCAAGTGTGTATGCAAGTGCACGTGCCCCGAGCAGAATGCGTCGTTCCTCGACCACTACCTGCACGTGCCTTTGGACGTCTCCAAGGTGTGGTTTGCCGTGCGTGTGCCGTGCGTGTGCCGTGCGTGTGCCGTGCGTGTGCCATGCGTGTGCCATGCGTGTGCCGTGTTTGTGCCGTGCGTGTGCCATGCGTGTGCCATGCGTGTGCTGTGCGTGTGCCGTGCGTGTGCCGTGCGTGTGTCGTGCGTGTGCCGTGCGTGTGCCGTGCGTGTGCCGTGCATGGAGGCGATACCGCTAGTGGCGTGGACTCGAGTGACACAAGGCAAGCTTACATTCGTATTCACCTCCATTCCCTCCCGCCTCCCCACCCACAACCCCTCCCGTCAGGTGCTCTTTGTGTGCACAGCCAACATGCTTGAGACCATTCCTGCGCCCCTCTTGGATCGCATGGAGGTGATTCGCCTGGTGGGGTACATTTCCGACGAGAAGACCCACATCGCTCGAGGATACCTGGAGCCTGCTGCTCGCACTGGGTGCGGTGTGAAGCCAGAACAGGTGGGAGCTATTCTAGCACACGCTTTGTAGCACATACCGCACGTGGGTTCACAGCAGCACACACAGAAGACCCACATCGATAGATGGTACCTGGAGCCTGCTGCTCGCACTGGGTGCGGTGTGACGCCAGAACAGGTGGGGACTCTCTCTCACACTTCACCACGTGTATGAAGATTTGTTTTGAGACGTCTCAAAACAAATGTCATACAGAACAGGTGGGAGCTCTCTCTCTCTCTCTCTCTCTCTCTCTCTCTCTCTCTCTCTCTCTCTCTCTCTCTCTCTCTCTCTCTCTCTCTCTCTCTCTCTCTCTCGAACGGTCCTTGGTATTAATGTCAGCAAGGTACACACACGGTCTCTCTCTCTCTCTCTCTCTCACTTCACCGCGCACTTCCTCACACTCTTGTTACTCGAATGGTCTTTTCACTCTGTATCACACACTCTAGTACCCTCGCTCGCACCCTGCTGAATGGCATGGAGGCCAGGGTGTGGAGAGGTGCTAGGGGCCGGGTAGATGTAGAGAGGTGAATTTGCATGTCCAATCTTCTGCTCTCCGTTGACCGTCCTGCTTGTACCAATCACCGCATTAATACAAAGGACCGTTGGGGTGTGGAACCTTTGAAGGCGCATGCAGAGTTGCTTGGTGCCACCAGTCTCACACGTCGCCTTCCCTTCCCTCCTTCTGAAACCACCAGGTGCTGGTGACGGATACTGAGGCGTCTCAAAGGTGCACTGCACTCACTGGTTGAGACGTACTGCAGGGAGGCGGGCGTGAGGAACCTTTTGGAGGCGCCTCACCACTCTCCCTTCCCTCCTTGTAATGAACTCCCTTTCCTCGTGAAGCCACCAGGTGCTGGTCACGGATACTGCACTGCACTCACTGATTGAGGGTACTTTTGAGAATTCTTAAACGTACTGCAGGGAGGCGGGCGTGAGGAACCTTTGGAGGCGCCTCACCACTCTCCTCTCCCTCCTTCGACCGCCCTCTTTCCTCGTGAAACCACCAGGTGCTGGTCACGGATGCTGCACTCACTTGGTGATTTCACCTAAAATTCTCAATAGTGATTTCACGATCACCACTCTCCCCTCCCTCCTTCGACCGCCCTCTTTCCTCGTGAAACCTCCCCTCCAGGTGCTGGTCACGGATACTGCGCTGCACTCACTGATTGAGACGTATTGCAGGGAGGCGGGTGTCAGGAACCTGCAGAAGCACATTGAGAGGATCTACCGCAAGGTAAGGAATTTGCTGGGAGGGGCTTGGGGAGGTGTGCAGGGGTGTTGGGAGTGGTGCTGGGGTGCTTGATCGGGTGTACTAAGGAACCTGCAGCTGCACATTGAGAGGATCTACCGCCAGGTAGAGAGCTTGCTGGGAAGGGTGCAGGGAGGGGTGCAGGGAGGGGTGCTGAGGGGGGTGCTGAAGGTTGTGCTTCGGAGGTGACTTTTGAGTCGACTCTAAAGTCACCTTGTGCAGGGGGGGGTGCTGAGGGGGGTGCTGAGGGGGGTGCTTCGGAGTTCATTGCATTCGCTTATCGAGACGTCCTGCAGAGAGGTCGGGGAGAGGAACCTGCAGAAGCACATCGAGAGGATTTCCCGCAAGGTGTGAGCTTGCTGGGAGGGGTTTTGGGAGGAGTGCATTGGTGTTGGGAGTGGTGCTGGGGTGCTTGGTGGGGTGCACTCAGGAACCTGCAGAAGCACATTGAGAGGATCTACCTCCAGGTAGAGAGCCTGCTGGGAAGGGTGCAGGGAGGTGTGCAGGGAGGGGTGCTGAAGGTTGTGCTTGGTGGGGTGTACTGAGGAACCTGCAGAAACACATCGAGAGGATCTACCGCCAGGTGAGGAATTTCTATTGCTGGGAAGGGTGCAGGGAGGTGTGCAGGGATGAGTTTGTGGTTGTTGAAATCAAGGGCGGAGAGAGGGACGAGGGAGGAGTGGGAGGTACGGGAGGGTATGAGTTGCATGTTGGAGTGACTTTTGAGAATTCTCAAAAGTCACTCCAACGGAGTGGGAGGTACGGGAGGGTATGAGTTGCATGTTGACGGTCACGCACACTCCCTGTCTTCCCCCATCTCCGTGGTTTGCAGGTGGCATTGAAGATAGTGCGTAGGGAGGGGGAGAGGGAGGAGCGAAAGAAGGTAGCTGCGGCAGCAGCAGCAGGACTAGTGGAGGATGGGGAAGAGGAAAAGGATTCTCTTTCCAGCAGTGCTAGTGGCAGCAGGAGCAGCAGTGATTTCAGCAGCAGTATTTCCAGCACTAGTGATTCTAGCAGCAGCAGCAGCAGCAGCAGGAAGGACAGTATGGAGATAGCGGAGAAGATTATGGAGGGTACAGAGGGCGCTCTGGACCTTGTCACTCGGCTGTCGGAGGATGGGGGGGAGAGGCTGGAGGAGAGGAGGGACGAAGGGGAACGGAGGGGTGAGGGAGAGAGGCGGGGAGAGGAGAAGAAAAGGCCTGGGGCCATTGATGGGGGCGGGGAGGAGGGTAAGGAGGGCAAGGAGAGGGAGAATGAGGCTGGGAAGGAGGCTGCAAGTGTGGCTAAGGAGGGTGGGAAGGAGGAGAGGGAGAGGATAGTGGTGGACGAGGGTACGTTGGTGGAGTATGTGGGGCAGCCGGTGTTTCAGAGCGAGCGTATGTATGATGAGACGCCCGTGGGTGTGGTCATGGGGCTGGCGTGGACTGCCATGGGGGGTTCCACGCTCTACGTTGAAGCCACAGTGATTGAGCAGGTGAGCATGTCACTGCTGTGCGTGCATTTATCGAGACCTATTCCATTCAGAGCGAGCGCATGTATGATGAGACGCCCGTGGGTGTGGTCATGGGGCTGGCGTGGACTGCCATGGGGGGTCCTCTTTGTTGAAGCCACAGTCATTGAGCAGGTGAGGAGGACTTTTTGTTGAAGCCACAGTCATCATCAACAGGTTGACATGGGTTGAGGTGGGTTGAAAGGGTCGGGGTGGGTTGAGGTGTCCAGACTCATTGCAGCCAGAGTGAGTGCATGTGCAATGAGAGGGCAGTGGGCGTGGTTATGGGGCTGGCTGGCCTGGCCTGGAGTGCCGTGGGGGGTTCATTGGAGTGATACATGTGTTTGTGCCACCCGATGCTCTTCTTCCCCCGCCCTACTGCCTCCCCCATTCGCCACCACCCGGTGGCGCGACTGATCTCACCCTCTCTTTCTCCCCACTGCCTTGGTAACCCCACATAGGCCAATTAGGCGATGTGATGAGGGTTGACTTTTGAGTCGACTCAAAAGTCAACTCCCCACTGCCTTGGTAACCCCACATAGGCCAATTAGGCGATGTGATGAGGGAAAGCGCCACCATAGCGCGGCACACGGTGGCACGGCAGGTTGTCAACCTCTCTTCCTTCCCTTTCCTTCCCACTGCCTTATTCACCCAACCCCAGGCAGCGGAAAGAGGCAGTCTGGAGCTGACGGGCCAGCTGGGAGACGTGATGAGGGAGAGCGCCACCATAGCCCATACAGTCGCGCGGCAAATCCTCACGCGGGCCGACCCCGGCAGCGAATTCTTCAGAAAGACGCGCATGCACATGCACGTGCCGGCCGGGGCCACTCCCAAGGACGGCCCAAGTGCCGGCTGCACCATGATCACTGCCATGCTGTCTCTGGCACTGGGGAGACACGTGAGAGCGGACCTTGCTATGACGGGAGAGGTTACCTTGACTGGACGGGTGCTGCCGATTGGAGGGGTGAGTTGCCTGCACTCTCATTGACTTGTGTTCGCTCACCTGGCTGCACCATGATCACTGCCATGCTGCCTCTGGCGCTGGGAAGACTCGTGCGGGCAGATCTGGCCATGACTGGCGAAGTGACCTTGACAGGCAGAGTCCTGCCGATTGGAGGGGTGAGTTGCCTTGACTTGCTTTGACTTGCGGTATGTTGTTCTGTGGCTATTGTTATGCTGGTGACTGGGAGGCACATGCACGTGCCAGCTGGGGCCACGCCCAAGGACGGCCCGGGTGCCGGCTGCACCATGATCACTGCCATGCTGTCTCTGGCACTGGGGCGGCATGTGAGAGCGGATTTAGCAATGACTGGCGAAGTGACCTTGACTGGCAAAGTGCTGCCGATTGGAGGGGTGAGTTGCTTGACTTCCTTGACTTGCTTTGACTTGTGTTGACTTGCTGGTTGCATGATGATTACTGCTATGCTGTAACTGGCGCAACCGCAAGGCGTATGAGAAGGAGCGGCCAAAACACATGAGAGCTTTGTTTCCTGTCGCTCACTGCCCACCCTTCCCACAGGTTAAGGAGAAGACCATAGCCGCTCGCCGCAATGGTGTGAAGCTGCTTGTGTTCCCCAAGGCCAACCGCAAGGACTATGAGGAGCTGCCAGAGCATGTGAGGGAGGGGCTGGATGCCTGGTTCGTGGAGCACTACGATGAGATCTTTGAGCTCGCGTTTGGACGACGGGTGGAGGAAATGGGTGCTGCAGAGGTGGTGGCTGATGCCGTGGCTGTTGAACCGCAGAGGGAGAAGGCTGGTGCTATCATTGCATCTTGAGCACACCACAGTATGTGGTGGATGAGAGACATGGGTGAAGATTGGTGCTGCAGAGGTGGTGGCTCATGGAGCCGCAGAGGGTGAAGGCCAGTGCTGCCATTGCATTTTGATATGCATGAAACATACAATTGGTACAGGGGTGTACGGTAACAGCAACACAACAATGGTGTTGTGACTTACTTGTGGTAGAAAACGTTATGTAGTCAACCATTTGTCAAACATGGGCTTGGTAGTAACTACTGGTTATTGACCAGAGGAGTAATTAAGGGATCATCATTCAAGCTGCCTGAACGATTGGACTAACCTGGTGTGACACCGCGTCGAAGGAATGGTGCAGCTAACACTGCTATTATGACAATCATGCTTGGGTACAAATGTAGTAAGCCTTTCAATACACCATTATAAACAGCGAATCACAGAAAGGCCTACTGGCATTCATCACAACCACTTTCCACCCAGCTTAAGCTGGTGATCACTACTGACCACCACGGAGGCGAAGCACCAGATGGAGGGTGGACTCCTTCTGGATGTTGTAATCAGCCAAAGTGCGACCATCCTCGAGCTGCTTGCCTGCGAAAATCAGACGCTGCTGGTCAGGGGGGATACCCTCCTTGTCCTGAATCTTAGCCTTGACGTTGTCAATGGTGTCGCTGCTCTCAACCTCGAGCGTGATGGTCTTTCCCGTGAGGGTCTTCACGAAAATCTGCATACCACCACGAAGGCGAAGCACCAGGTGAAGCGTCGACTCCTTCTGGATGTTGTAGTCAGCCAGAGTGCGGCCATCCTCGAGCTGCTTGCCGGCGAAAATCAGGCGCTGCTGGTCAGGGGGAATCCCCTCCTTATCCTGAATCTTCGCCTTCACGTTGTCAATGGTGTCGCTGCTCTCAACCTCCAGAGTGATGGTCTTTCCCGTCAAGGTCTTGACGAAAATCTGCATGCCTCCGCGAAGACGGAGCACCAGATGAAGAGTCGACTCCTTCTGGATATTGTAGTCAGCCAACGTGCGACCGTCCTCGAGCTGCTTGCCGGCGAAAATCAGGCGCTGCTGGTCGGGGGGGATGCCTTCCTTATCCTGGATCTTCGCCTTCACGTTGTCGATGGTGTCGCTGCTCTCAACCTCCAGAGTAATCGTCTTCCCGGTAAGAGTCTTCACGAAGATCTGCATGCCACCGCGGAGGCGAAGCACCAGATGCAGGGTCGACTCCTTCTGAATGTTGTAGTCGGCCAAAGTACGTCCGTCCTCGAGCTGCTTGCCGGCAAAAATCAGGCGCTGCTGGTCGGGGGGGATGCCTTCCTTATCCTGAATCTTCGCCTTAACGTTGTCAATCGTGTCGCTGCTCTCAACCTCCAAGGTGATGGTCTTGCCGGTAAGAGTCTTCACGAAGATTTGCATGCCACCGCGAAGCCGAAGCACCAGATGAAGCGTAGACTCCTTCTGGATATTGTAGTCCGCAAGAGTACGGCCATCCTCCAGTTGCTTGCCAGCGAAAATCAGACGCTGCTGGTCAGGAGGAATCCCCTCCTTGTCCTGGATCTTGGCCTTAACATTGTCGATGGTATCGCTGCTCTCGACCTCAAGGGTAATGGTCTTGCCGGTGAGAGTCTTCACGAAGATTTGCATGGTGGCTGACGGAAACTAGCAAACTACCAAACAAGCAGGCTCTACGGAGGCTAGATCAAGCAGGTAGAAGTTAGGCAAGCAGAAACCTAGCTCAAGAATGAAGAGGAGTAAATGGAGGACGGTTATATACTTCCAACAACACCATATAACATTGTCCCTCGGGAAAGGTGTTGCGCTGTGGCGTGCTCTGCCGAGCCAAACCTCTCATGGATGAAACCCCAAAGAAGAAACGTCTCGAAGAAGGAAGCTGGCTGTGTGGCCAGGCGAAGGTTGCGGAAGCGTGCTCCGCAAGATCTTCGTGTGCTCCGCTCCGCGCCAGGCCCGACAGCATGACGCGGTTTCAAAAGCTCGAGCGGACCAATGAGAGCGAAGGTGGGTGGGTTCAGGGACCACGTGGGCGATTCGGTCTGGAGGAGAGCCGTTTCGCTGACTCAGCGGGGACCACCGAACCGAGTCACTGAACCCAATGAAGCCACCAGGCTTCACGTTTGCTAAAACAAACCTACAACCGTGAGGCGAGTCCGAGACGCGGCAACAATAATACATTCAAACATCATAATGATTGTGCAATATGCACATATATGCCATATATTAGAAGCCTTGCAAATCAGACCATGCTAATATACATGTACAGAAAGATGTCTAATGTGTATATCATGCACAGATGCACATTATTTCACATTAAAGGCCGGTGGTCGCGGTATACTGAAGAGCGGTCAGCACCGGAGGAGCCATCAAAAGCTGCTGCAGAGGCATAGGGCAAGCCCCCTTGCTGAAGCAAGGAATTAATCCCTTGAAGAAACACAGGGGCGCCAGAAGGATCTAGAAATGGCACTAATCCAGTATCATGAAGAATGCCCAGGAGCCCAACAACTGCGCACGTTATCGCGATGTAACACAAGGCTTGCGCACTGCGCCTGGAGTAGGAAAGTGGGTGATGGGTATCGTCTACTCCGGGGCGAAAGAGGCTTCGAGCGTTGCTGTGGTTGCGCAGGCACGGTTACCGCTCGCGGTGACGACAATGCTGACCCTGAAGCCCCAGCTTCTACTGACAGAGGAGTCGAGAGTGCTGGCATGGCTGCTAAGGACGATAATCCTGATGATGCTGATGATGATATCAAGGCTGATGGCTCTGTTGCTGCTGCAGGTGTGAGTGGTAGTGGTGGCACTGCTGCCACTTGCTGGTCCCTATCAGCCAAACCCTCTGAACCTGGAGGAGCCACCGCTGGAGCTGCAGCCAGCCCTGGTGCCAGAGCTGTTGCCAAACCTGGACCTACTCCCGGACCTGCTGCCAAACCTGCCGCCGAACTTGCTGCTGCTGTGACAGCACCACCTCCATCGCCCTCCACACCCGATACCTCACAGCACACAGCTAGACTCAAACAGCTTCCTTGCTGAGAACCCACGGACTGCTCTTGAGGCAAGGTCTGTTCTTGAGGCACAACCAGCCCACCGCTCTCTTCTTCTGAGCGCAGGAACGGCTGCGCTTGTGAGGCATTGACCGGCAGACCCTGTGTATTCCGCGATCGTTCCTGTCCCCCTGCTTCCTCCTCTGCCTCTGCATCTACCTCTGCCTCTGCCTGTGTAGCCAGTGCCCCTGCCTCTGCCTCTGCCTCTGCCTCTGCCTCTGCCTCTGCCTCTGCCTCTGCCTCTGCCTGGGATTGTTCCTCCTGCTGGTGCAGGGAAAGCGGCTCAACATCCTCCGCCCCCGCAGCTACAGGTCGGCCCAGACCACTCAATCGGCACAAATCCCCCTTGCGGTAGCGATCAGGTGACCTCTCAGGTGAATTCTCAGGGAGCTTCTTTGCCAGAAAAGGGCTGTCAACCAGCGAGGGGCAGAAGCAGCTGAGAATGCTCTCAGAAAGATCGAGATCCTCCAGGTCATCAGAGAGAGAGCCTGAGAGAGAGCTTGAGAGAGAGCTTGAGAGAGACCCTGATCCCACTGAATGGAGCAGTTGGACGGGTGGTGAATGTCTGGAGAGTGGTTGGAGAGAAACTGGGTCCCAGAAGCAGTCGAAGAGCCACAAAAGCCCAGGATCTTTCAAGTGACTGGGTCAGGGACCCGTGCGTGTGTAGCAAGCTGCTTCTGCTGCTGCTGGTGTTACTGCTAGCGGTGTTGCTGGCGGTGCTGCTGCTGCTATCCCTGTCTGTGTCCTTGTCCCTGCTGCCACTGCTGCAGCTGGTGCTGCTGGTGCTGCTCCCTCTGTCTCTCCGACTTTCCCTACCCTCCTCGCTTATTGCTGAGTGATATCTCCCGACTAGAGTGATGCGGCAGCCCACGGCTCACCTGGGCAAGGGGGGCAGACGAAGGGGATGCATGGCATGAGTATGAGTGTGTGAGGGGATGCATGGCACGAGTATGAGTGTGTGAGGGGATGCATGGCACGAGTATGAGTGCGTGAGGGGATGCATGGCACGAGTATGAGTGCGTGAGGGGATGCATGGCACGAGTATGAGTGTGTGAGGGGATGCATGGCACGAGTATGAGTGTGTGAGGGGATGCATGGCACGAGTATGAGTGCGTGAGGGGATGCATGGCACGAGTATGAGTGCGTGAGGGGATGCATGGCACGAGTATGAGTGTGTGAGGGGATGCATGGCACGAGTATGAGTGTGTGAGGGGGATGGGTCCATGAGTGCATGCGCCAGCCGCCTTGCAAGTGTCTCTCTAAGATCACGGAAAAAAAAAAAAGACAAAAAAGGAAAAAAAAAAAAGGAGGATGAGGGCAGTTGGTTGGAAGCAGTCAAGCCATGATGATGCTGCCAACCAACTCGTGGTTGGAGCGAAAGACATGCGACCAAAGACATGCGTGCTGATACAGCGAGCATACCCAGCAGCACGAGGAGGCGGGGAAAGAGCAGGGGCACACACCAGCAGCACGGGAGGCGGGAAGAGCAGGGGCACACCCAGCAGCAACAGGCGGCGGGAAAGAGCAGGGGCACACCCAGCAGCAACAGGCACATGACGCTTCAATAAGCAGTCAGCCTACCTCAATCGCAGAGACGAAAAGGGAGAAGCTGGGGGTTGGAAGCAGTCGAGAGCCACGACGATGCGACCAAAAGACATGCGTGCCCACGCAGCACAGCACTCCCAGCAGCACGCCCAGGCTGAGACCCAGATAGGCTTGCCCACCGAGGAGGACGGCTGGAAATATGGACTCGTCTGATAAGAAACCTGCGGGGACAGAGAGTCCAGGGGCAGGGGATGGGCGCATGAGAGAGAATGAGGGGTCTGGGCACGTAGGGAGGGCCCATGAAGGGCTGAGACCCAGCACAGAGCTTGCCCCACTGAGAAGCCGGCTGGAATATGGACTCGTCTGAAAACAACCTGGTGCGGGGAGGGGGACAAGGGATGGGGAAATGAGAGCCGGTACGTTAGGGACGGCCGGTGAAGAGCTGAGCTCCAGATAGAGCTTTCCCACTAATTATGACGGTTTGAATAGCAACTTGTCTGTAAATAATCTTGACTCGACTCATGCGCCTTGCTGCTGCTGCTGCTGCTGCTGCTGCTGCTGCTGCTGCTGCTGCTGCTGCTGCCGCCGCCGCCGCCGCCGCCGCCGCCGCCGCCGCCGCGCTGCTGCTGCTGCTGCTGCTGCTGCTGCTGCTGCTGCTGCTGCTGCTGCCGCTGCTGCTGCTGCCTCCCTCTTCTTTCGTCCATGTCCTGTCTCGTCCTCTCTCCTTCCATCTCCCCAGGTTATTTACAGACAAGTTCACCCTGTGGGGTCGTACGTAGTGCTCTACAGACAGGGCCCTATAAGCTCTAAAACGCTCACCAGTTCGTGACGGCGGCAGCAGCGAGGTGCATGAAAATGCCCTGGCGCGGGGGAGGCGGGCAGGACACCCTGCAAGCCCAAGAAACCCCTTAACCACCTGGAACCTTATCAAACCGACCTCCAAACTCACCACTTGGTGATGGCTGTAGCAGCGAGGTGCATGAAAATGCCCTGGCGCGGGGGGGGCGGGCAGTGACGCAATGGAGCGCGGAGGGGGGAGATGCACCCTGTGGGGGTGCGAGGGTCGTACAGGCATTTGTGCAGCGATGCAACCTGGAGGAATGGAGGTAGGGGAGGGAAGAAGCGCAGAGGGGGGTGGAGGGTAAGGGGAAGAAGCAGTTGCGCCTGTGGGGGTGACGCGGGTCGTACAGGCCCTTGTGCAGTGAGGCCACCTGGAGGGGGGAAGGAAGGACGACGGGGGGTGGGCTAGGGGGGTTGGGGAAGAGGGGTGGGGGGGGGGGGGGGGGGTGGGTGGGGGGGAAAGTGGGGGTCGTGAGGGGGAAAAAGGGGAATGGGATTAACAACAGGAAGGAGGTTGCACCCTGTGCGGTTGGCGCGGGTCGTAAAGGCACTTGTGCAGCGATGCCACTTGGGGGTGGACGGGGGGAAGGGGGGAGCATGGGAGAGAGGGCATAGTTGGGGTTAAAGTGGGGGACGAATGGGGAAGAAGACGGGCGATAGCAGCGGCAGGGGGAGTGGCAGCAGCAGGGGGGGCGCACCTTGTACTTGTCTTTGGCCCGCCACGCGGCATTGAAGTCCGGCGGCACTGGGAGGACGGCAGCGACAGGGAAGCGGGTCGGGGAGAGCCGTTGTGGTTCGGATCGTTGTAAAGCTCCCTTGCTGATCCCCTTCCTCCCATTCTCCCCTTGCTCCTCTTGACCGCTTTTGACTTCGTTGACTGCGTTGACTCGCTTGACCGTGTTGACCGCGTTGACTTTTCTGGCGCCTGTGCTGAAGCAGCGAGCGCCACGTGGTTGGACGGCGAGTGGAAGGAGACGTTGAGGTCGAGCTGGATGAGAGCCGCCCAGTAGTAGGTGAAGTGGCAGGCGCGTGGCGGAGGGGGAGAGCGGCAGCGCGGAGAGCAGCGGTTGCGGGAGGAGCGCGAGGAGCGACGCGGAGAGGGACGCGAGGGCGGAGGGGGGGTTGGCGGGAGGGGAGGCGGAGGCGGAGGGGGAAGGGGAGGCGGGGTGGGAAGCGGAGGCGGAGGCTGAGGGGCAGGAAAAAGGGGAGGCGGCGTGACAGGCGGGTGGGGAGGAGTGGGCGGACGAGTCGTGGTTGGGGGAGGAGGAAGGAGGAGGGGAAGGCGTGGCGTAAGGGGAGGAGGAGGCGAACGGACGAGAGGCGGGGTGTGGTGAGGCTTGCGATGGGGCTTGCAACGTGTGTGGCGAAGATGGTAACCAGGTTGGCAACGATGACGAGGAGGAGGTGTCGTTGACAGTGCACAGCTTGACGGATCGCAGATCCACCCCTGGCGAAATCAGGACATTGTGAAAATCGGGTAGTCGCAAGATTAGGAAATGGCGAAAGCGGGAAAATGCCTAGAGGTCATGGGGGAGGGATAAGGGGGATGTGGAGCGGGGAGAAGGGGGGGAATGGAAACAAATGAATGACATTTGGGTTCGAGCAATAATGATCACTATTCTCACCTGCGGAAACGACGCGGCACGTGCCCTTGGACATGGCGGCCGGATCAGGCGGCATCTGCAGCCAAAGCGCGCCGATTCCGACCGACAGAAATAGGAGATTCACGAGCAGCAGGAGCGACACGGCGCACGTTAGCCACCAGCGAATGTACTTAAAACGCGTACGCTGCCCGCGCAGGCACGCGGTGATTATGCGGACGACGGGGACGCCTATACAGAGGCCAGCGACGGGGACCGACGTGGCGACGGCGATGACGATGACTTCTGCGAACTCGACGAGCGACGACGCTGCGAAGGCTGCGATGTCGGTGAGCGACATGGACGACGCCATCGCACGAAGGTCGCACGGACTGAAGACGGTGTGAGATATGAATCGAAGAAGAGTAATACCCCACGGCTCGGCGATATAGTACCTACGCTACAGGTTTTATTTCCAATGCTGAAAGAAAAAAGTGGAAAAAAAATCACGAAGGCTTGGATGGGAATAGACAGAGGACCTCGTGTTTCAGTCGGAGTCGAACGGGTGTAACACCAGCAGGAACCTTCGACCCAGTCCCAGTCTACGGTGACCTCGACGATACAGTATTGCATAGAATACTCTAACCGGCATGAGCAGAGGAGCAGAATGGCCAATAAGCGCTGTTAGAGTGGCTTTGGGTTCGATCAGCGAGGAAACGAGCCGGCCGTGTGTGCCATTCGTGTTTTTCTCGTATCAGACGGCAGGTAATCGAGCACTGCAGAGCTACGTAAGGAGGTCCTGGTAGGAATGAATGTGGAATGGCGCTTACATGCTGAAATGACACCCTAGACGCGAGTCACAAATGACACTACAGTATCAAGGTCGCTGGTGGAATGGTGGGTGCGTGGTGTTGGGTAATTCGCCTTCAAGCCTCCGTGACATAGAGACCGTACTGTATCTCACATTATCTTACAACACCATATTCAGCCCTCATCCAAAGAGCCCTTGCAATTACCCTTTTCGCGGCCTGGAGCACTGTCGTTTACTGTGGATCAGGTCTTTGTCTTTCCAGAACCTTCAGAGCTCTGTGCAGTGGATTATCGCGTATTTTAGTGTTACAGAGTGGTACTAATAGTTTCACGACATGACCAGGTGATTCTAACTGCCCAGCATTCCTGCTCACGATTCATTCCAGGGGGCACCTGCTTGCTGTGCAGGCTTGCTGGCTCGCACGACTTCAGGGAAGGAAGTCGTGGAGGGCATACGATGCGACGTCGCACAGCGATGTGAAGTGAGAAGAAAGCGTCGCAACAACCAACCTTGACAAAGTTGTGCTGCGTTGTTATTGGTCGTGCTGTCCTTCGCCAGGCGCATCTTGAGAATATGTCGGTTCCCTCGTTTGTGGGAGCTCGCCCAACATTCCTTTTGAATCAACCCCTTCGTTCTAATACCGTGACAGTGAAAGTGGGGCTACATGCCCAATCGATTGGTTCATTGTACGTGTAAAAACGAATACAAATCGTGACATTCTTACGCAGTGTATATGTTCAATACTCTCTTAGCTTGTAGTAAAACCTCCCAATTGCTACACGATATACAGTGATACAGCTGGTAAAGCGTATACGCTTGTTCGCCAAGTGTCGTCTGCACATACGCGCCACGTCAACTCCCTGCGAGCCGCGCATCCTTTCCACCAAATTCCAAAATGTGCATTTGCAGCCTGCCAGCCTCTACAACCGCACCCACATACCCCACCCCATCACACAATACCGCACCAATCTGCATTTACAGCAAGGGCGTGGTGCAAGTGTGGTGGCCTCTCGAACCTCACCTAACGTAGCGATGTAGGAAAAGAGCCGTTTTGACTCGCACAGACTCGCATCTCACCGTAATGAAGTGAACTCTTCGAGCACGTCCTCGTCCCTGCAAATTTCATTTCATCCCATCTCATGCGATAATTGTCACACCTAAGCACCGACAATTATTATCCCCAGCCTCTACCAACGCCTATACCGACCTACAACTAAACTCTTGACTCGAGTTTAAGGCAGGCCCCTTGCAGCGCGCCTGGATGAC